TGCTGTCGGTGCTGCTCGCCTTCCAGGATGGGGACCGCGTGATCCTCACTGTGCCTGGTTGTGGACACTACAAGATATGGCTGCCAACCGATGTCAGTGGCGTTCTTGTTGTCAGTTTCTATCCAGATTGCCTGAGTGAATGTCTGAAGGTGTAGGCACCTCGGAATGATTGTGTTAAGCTGGCACTAAGTCCATCCCCCGTCCACCTTTACTCTTTTCTTTACAATAAGGCTTTCAAATAAGTCATGGTTGTACGGCAGTGAAGCATCGGTGTTGAACACTGATGTCATGCTGTCGATGATGATGATGATCTCAGCTTGGAGGAAAACAAGTGTGAATTCACAGACGTGTGGGACTGAGTCAATTTGGAATAACAAAGAAACTGAACCAAGCAGGAAACATAAACATAATTTCTTGAACACCCGCACTGTAGCCTGATGCATACGTTACTTGAGATTCAAGGATATGCCGTTTTGCCGCCATAGGTGTCTAAAATTGGCAAACGCGACCCGGGGCTTGCAAATCCGTGCATTGATCTCAGCTGTCACACCACAATCAGAACTAATACAACTGCTAAGGTACGTAAAACGCCCCACAACTTCCAGTGCCCCTCCTTGGATTGTAAGTAGCGTGCTCAGTGACTTCATATCCACAAGCACGTGCAAAGTGCACACCAAAAGACTTTGATCAGTTCATCCGGAAACACCTGCGCTTTCTTCTCCTTTTCGAAGATCACATCGATATCGTTTGCATATTCCAAATCAACAAGGCTTTCGTCGGAGGCCGTTTGAACGCTAGGCTGTTAAAGAGCTTCCTGCAGTCGTCTTTATATATATATATATATATATATACATAATTAGTGCAGTATGCAAAGTAGACAGGGTAATAACGATGCGATATCTGAGGCGGAGTTATTTTTCGAAATTTCCCTTTTATCAAGCGGTTCTATTCAAAATGTATGTGATATCTTGGTAAGTCATATATATGATGTCAACCGTGAGTTTCCGGCATTTAAAGAGCTCAGGACCATGATTCAGGTGACATTCTAATCAAAAGTAAACCTAAAATGTGGCTTCATTTGAAAATATAAAGTTTGATTGCATTCTCTGAAGATTTTCAGGTGGCTATCAAGGATTAGCTTGCAAGGTTTTCGGAGCTCTGTAATCAATAAACTTGCGCTAGTCTCATGATCACTCAGCTACATTTGAAGTGCTTGGTGGAAATATCAGAAGTCACACCCACAGTTAAATAAGTGAAACGTTTCGACTACTAACAGGCCGTTCCATAAGAAACAAAGACGGCTCAATTCCACCCTCTTAAAGCAATATCGTTTGCGCGTTATACCCTGAAAAGACAACCGGGGACTGGTGATGGGACAAAGTGAAGTCACATCTGCGAGTTAAGGAGCAAAACATTTGTGCATTAAATAATCACACGTGAAAGGATGATGATGTCTCGCAGATTGACTGCCAGTCTCTAGTTGAGGAGGGACATCTAATCACAAAGGAAACTAAACGGAAGTCTCTAGTGGGATAAACATGTGAGAAACGCACACACCATACTCACCGCTTCATCGTGGCCGCAAGTGCACTCTCCAGTGATACGTCCATAGGATGGAGGTCTTCCCGACAAAAAGGGATCAGCAGTGCCTCGAGTATAACACAAGATCCCGTTAATTCCAAGCAAGAAAGAAGCTGATGGGGCGACACAATGACAAGTAAATACTTGCGGTTGAATATTTGCGCAATTGTGCTAAGATGGGCTGTTTGGAAATGCTTATTGAACGGGAAAATGTTGTCTGGTGGTCAAAGTACAGACAGAAATTGTAAGCGTTTCAGAACCACTCATAAACTTTAACCGTCATCAATGCAGATCCGACATTCTGATTTTGTAACAAGGACTTTTCATACCCCTGAGTTTACAAGTGGTCTTTTAATCTGTCCTGGGATGGTCTCTCTTTACGAAGAGTAACACTAGAGTGATACCCCGAAGAGATTTCTACCAAGAGAGGCACTCCGCAACTGTGCTACACCAGCACTCCCCTTCAACCACGGTGTGACGTAACAATCCATAAATTTAGTGAACACTTAGGAAGAGACAAAAACACTTTCTTTATCGACATGTTATCTACTCTACTGCCATGCAGTAGAGTAACGTCCTTGAGAACTCTCAGGGGAGTGAACTCTTTTCAAGGCACCTCTTGGGGAAAAAGGCTATATCCGATTGCCGATCAAGATTCGCAAAAAAGGAGTTATTGTGCGTAAAGCTGATGGAGTTGCCACTAACTTTGATGCGACCGGTATCTATTGCTGAGGTTCCATCACTTCGATGGTCTGTGACAATAACTCCTCGTGTGGAAAAACAAACCTCACACCCACGGGGACAATTACAGTTCCTACACCATCTTCCATGTTACATTATACAAAGGAACAGTCGGTATTTCCAGACGGTCAACTGTATCAGCCCTAGCCTTCGGATGTTTTTACACCAGCAAGAAACTCAAGCACTGTAAACTTCTGCATACTCTTCACGTATTGAGCTTCGTATGACACGTTTGAAGACATCGCGTCTGCTCGAATACTTGCCTCCTTGAATCAGTTGGACGAAGAATGTGCCAGAATACGAGTTGGATGCAACAAAGAAGGCGAGAGTGTTAATAGGTGCATAAGTTTACTCGATCACGATTCATCTGTTGAAGGTAACCGAAATTATGAATTCATACAACCAGATTTCCGCCAGCGTAAGATTTTCAACTCTTTAGCTGATCGGGTAGTATTCAGACGGTTCATTAGAGAAACAAGAACTCAATCAGCCTAAGAGACAATCTAGTGATAACATGTGCACAAACAAACATACCAGATGGCAAGTAAATAAAGTTATTGGGCCAGAGGATCCAAAAAGAGACAGGCTTCCCATTCCCATTGGCGACAGGTATCTTAGATTCCATCTGAAAGCTTCCCAAGCATCATAAAATAGACGACAGTTGTGTATTGTCGAAGACAATACAAAACCGCTGAGCTGCACCAACTGCACATTCAAGATAAGCCACCCAAAAGAAAACATCCGGAGCATTTAAAGCTGAACACAAATTGCATGAAAATTCTCATCACCAGGCGCGGAGTAGTATTTTAAAACAATAGGGGACACTCAGCTAGATGAAGGCTATACCGGAGAATCATAGCACTGACTTTGTTGGCATAAAGGAATCCAATATGGCATTGAGCCTTATCAGAGGAGGTCTACACCGAAGTTCTGGCGATCGGCACGAGCTAGTTACGTGACAAGCCCAGCTACATGGCAAAACCATCGTTCAACGTGGTCGGTTTAGCTACACGCTCCTACAACCGGCGCTATACGGAGTGAGACGCAAAACGAAATCGGACTCCTGGCCATTGTTACGACAACTTTGTCGCACAGACACGGTCAGTAGACCAATTTCTGTGAATCAGTCGCAGTAACATGTGTGCAAACGAGCGCAAGCGCACACACAAGGCATGGATGCGATCAACAGTGGATGTCCAAAGCTGTCCTGTTCCACTGATGCACTCGTTCCTTTGTAAACTACTTTGATCGCACCACACCTCAAAGCTCCTCGATGTGCCTCTTTGTTGCGGCAGTCCACGGACGTGGAAGGCCTTTTTGAATTTGTAGCGCACAGCTAGCTATATTGTTTCTACCAGTCCTGATGATTCGAGATGATGCAAGATACTGCAAAAGCATCGAGCGGTATGCCCCCTAACAAAAAATATGAAAACCTATTTGCAACCACCACCAGCTGATCATAAAATTAGCGCGAGTTGTTAATCCTCAACGTCCTATGGCCACCAGATGGAGCCCAATTAGGGAAATAGACCTCGTATGGGTGATGTTCTTGAGGGATGACGGGTTGAATTCACTTATGGTAAAACTTGGTCAGGATAAGTAGCCTACTAGTGTCTTCGTTGATGGAAATGTGGTGGTTACAAAACACCAAAAGACCTCCAAAAATTGGAGAGAATTTGGAGAAACGGCGTGTTTCGGGAGAAAATGAGTAATCACTAACCGTCGTGAAGACCTTTCGATACTCTTCAGATTTGCTACCATCTCTTTTGAATTCTTCTTGGTTTATTGGCAGTTGGGTGGCCAAGAATTCTTTCAGAGCTTGCAAGATGTTGATGTCCGTTTCACTTGCACAGCTCTCACGTACCCGGCTAGCACTTCGTACCGAACGGAGAAAAATGGAAAGCATGTCGAGGACGCAGATCTATTGCGAAAAGGAGATAGAAGTGCGTGTGGTAATAAAAACATAGATAGAAAGAATGCACGAGCCACTCTGTGACTGGACGACTGAACGAGATGAAAAAAGCAAACTGAGTGAATGAAACCAATTTTCCAAGTTAAGATGAAAGTCTCAATATTGGAATTCGACCTCACTCCTCAGAAGCAACCATTTATGCTAGAAGACTTATTAAAAGATCAATCTGCAAGTCTGACTCCCAATGCCACTGTGCCAAACAGGTGACTTTTAAGCAACATCGGGCCTCTGCTTTTTAAAAATATTCCGACCGTATTCGACCGATACAAAGACGGTCATAGTAACCGTTGGGCGATCGGGGTGTGCGGTTTTCCGGGCAAACCAGTTCTGACCTCTCCTTCCTCGGAGGAAGGCAGTTATGCTGCTTTCATAGACATGTAGATGGTCACCTGGGAGAAACATCTTACTGCCTTAAAATCTTCATCGCAGATGGAGATGTCTCATATTACGACATATCGTAGCAGTATAGCTCACTACCCTTCATCAAACGGTCCCCGTTGGTCTTTCTGGCCCGACTGAACCTTAAGAAACCGAGCTACAGCTAGTGCATCCCCCGCAGAAAAGCAGTAGCTTGAGGTCACGAAATAGGAAACAAACCCTAACAAGAACAATAATTTTCCAAATTTGTCAAAGAAGCTGAACGACGCAAGACGAGATGTAACCAAAATGCGAAGAAACTTGTATGACATCCATAACACACCTTTTGTCCCAGGGATAATCCAGGATCGCGCAGAAGGAAAACCACGGTTGGTACCAGAGGATTCCAGTCAGTACCCTATGAGGATAGACAAAGACAAGCAGTGAATGAGAATGATATCAGCTGAACTGGTCTAGGAAACACAATAAGACTGAGCACGTTTGTTAGATGCATATGTTGGTGGTCCTGCAAATAGCATCCCATATATGGTGTCTGTGGGTTTGTGTGAGATGCGACTCTTAATATCGAACGGTCACATCATTCGATATAACTAAGTCAAAATGTATGCAGTATTCCGAGGAGACTATATGGCACCCGTTAGTTATACACCCGGTAATCTTTTCTAAATAATTAAACTTCTACTTATAGTTCCTGCCGCAAAGTCAGTCTATACGAGACCAACATGACGCCACTTAAGCATATCTAGAGTTGACGAGCTAGCAATAAACTTCAACCACGGACATATCGGACAAGGAGAACCGCCCTAAGCTAAATAATGTGGGCTAGCTAGATTACCAACACCAACTGCTCGCAAAAATACCGCCGCACTAGTTAGACAGTGTGGTACATGGGCACATGATGGACTCACAGCTGAAAGGTAGAAGGAATAAGCTTTCTTCCTCTGGATCGTCATATGGATGCTCCCCGAATGAGGAAAACTGCACTACAGTATAGTTAACCCTTCGCATAACATGCAATATGTCCACGAAAAAACAGTACCGGCCTTGATAAAGATGCTTCTCAGTCAGAATAAGTGACTTAGCTTTAATGAGATCACTTATCCATTTGTGGGAAACGTACCTTTGGGCCGAGCATCAACAACCGCTCCATGAATCCGAGCATAACTTGGTTCGACCATTGCTGATAAGGTGAAGCGCATACTAACCGTTCAAACAGCTGGGTCCAGCTGTCCAGAATCCGTGATACAATGATGTTAGATACGTCTCCTTGTTGTTTTGGCGACGTCTCAACCGCAATGTTAATCCTGTAGAGAGAAATTTGGGAGGCTGTTGAGCTCCTGCATCCTTACGTGGTGCTGTACTAGTTCTAATCTAGTGTTAACTCAGAAGCTTAGCAGAACAAACACTGAATGTCTAATGCGCACAAGGAACAAGGAAGACGATACGATGATGGTACAAAAAACTGGAAAACATAACCAGACAAATGACTCTGCACGATTACAGTGAACTATTCCAACCAGTACAACACGATCGACTGATCTGTCGACAGGAGCGCCATTTAGCAAAAGATACTCGGGTTGTGTCAGCCGAAATTACTATGACTAAAGAGGACGAAAAAAAGGCTCATGTCAGCACGAGGGCTCTCAACTCCTACCGGGTGGACAAAATTATTGAAAAACACCGAATCTTGAATCTGTTACAATGATGGTCAAGAGTTGGAATCAGGATATACTGATTAGGGTGAAAGTAACCACAAATTTATCAGTTGATGATACATTAAAACACGTACATTAACAATGGTTGCGTCACACCACTGTGTTGGCCTAGCTGGTTCATTACATTAGATCATGCTCTACCGCTTGACACAGGTTTCAACTCCACAAGCCCACTTTCATTTTGGCTGTCAACCTCCTTCTGATAATCTGTGCACAGGTTGTTTCGAAAGTGGACACGCAAAAAACATTTCAAGAACAAATTGTTTATGCGGTTCATCCTGGTTGGGATTTCATTATCCGGTATCTCGAAAGCGATAGTCGACAGGGATAGAGTTACAAGAAGGTCAACCCCTATTAAAGCCTGTACCAAAGCTAACAACAACTTCATGTATTTGAAACAACCACAGAAATGCTCATTAGATTATTCTGAAGCCAGAATAAATTTTCATGCCCAATGGTTTCATTATCCACTTTGATGTTTATAGTATTCTGTTACCAGCATGTTATACATATCGCAGGTCCAATAGGTGGGACGTATTTAAAGGTTTTCTTTACCTCGAGTGCTTCGGAGTCTCCTTTCTTTGCGATGAATGGCAACGGTAGATGACACGTTTGTCTCTTTCGTCTACTTTTCACCCCAATGCTTTAAATATAATTAAATAAGTGTATTTGTATTTGGGTTCAGATAAGACATAAGGTTGACGGAAACTGGGGTAGTGCGCCTACCTGACGAACACCAAGAAGGGTGAGACCGATCGTGGGCTGTCGAGGAGTTTCCACCAACCCTGTGAGTAGTTTCTTTTGTGATAAGTAAATGCAATTTTTAGTAGAAATTTGTGGTTACACGGCAGTGAAGCACCAGTAGCAGCACTGACATTGCTGCCTTCGGTGATGGTGATGATAACGATGAGGGAAAGTCGATTGGACTTTATCTACGGAGGCGGGTCGCACAGACAGTACCCTGAGTTTTCGTAACCGCCGTCATATCCTTAATTCAGGTCAAAAGCTGAACATCCCTTGCTTACACTGCCATGAATAGACCATGGAAGAGAGCGGTAGCATTTGTAAGGCGCTTGGATTACCAGGGAACACCTGGAGAAATGCTCCTCCGACAGAAGAAAACACACCAAAGAGGAGGTGAAAATACTCGACGAGTTGTGAGTAAGTTCCGAGCGCGTCAGCACAAATAGGTTCCGATGCAGTGTGTGACAGAGTGCTTCCAAATGGAGGCATACCAGTAAAAAAATTTTCTTATGAATCAGAAGGAGCGCGAATCCTGAGCGAAACGTTTCAATATGACCCCAAAAATAATCTTGTTCTTTGAAAGCTGCGTGGAGGTGATGTGCTAGCTCCCATACTCGACCAAATTCGCAGGAATTCGCATATCAACAGTGAATATAGCTGCCCCCGTCAGGAAAGACATATTGAAGTGAATTTTCCTCCGAGGACGGAAACAAGTGCACCTCTAATAAACTGTATTCACCAGGGGGGCTTTTCCCTCATCGGAATGAGCCGATCTACGGAAAAAAATGCCCAATTATGCAGCAAACTAGGAAGATACGAACAGTTGTTAGCGAAGATGATTTGTTAGACGTACTTTGCGCTGCCTTGCAAGGATAAGCAGAGCTCCAAGCAGGTTGTGAGCAAAGTAACAGCTCTGTTCAATACAGCCGGGTCGAATGTGTCTATTGCTAGTCGCACGCGGTTTAGCACACGGTCGATAAAGCAACTCGAGTACGGTGAGTCTTTTGACACAAAAAGCTGTGGCCCACACGATCCCTTCCGCGTCGGCATTTCTGTTCTACCCCAGAGTAGTAACTGACAGACGGTCTTGTCACTGAGGCCTGAAGATAGTTTATGCTGTTGAAAGCTTCCGTTTTCTTTTGTTAGTAACAGCTGGTCCAACAAGTACTCGATTATAGTAGTCTGAAAAACAAGGAAGAAAGAGCATGGCTGTGAGCCAAAAGAAACTTCTTTGAACACGAAGCCAATCAACCGGTGGCTTTGGGATCACAAACAATCCTATATTATGTAAATCTTGTGGGGAAGTTTTGAAGTTTAGGATGAAAATTTTATCCTGTAAGTGAAATCAATCCAAAATTTCACACAGGCATCAACGTGCATGAAGGTGAACAAGTAAAGGTCCCCTTATGCAACAATCTCGCTAGAAGAAATGCCTCTTCGGAAGCGAAAAAATATCCCCCGCGGACTAATTTAAACAGGCTAAACAACCCTGGAGGCAACAAGCATGTCTTATATGCTATGGGCGCGTCCATCCAAATAGGGAATAACTTTCTCATAAGTCACATCATTTGATCGTAGTAGAGAGGGTGACTACGTTTCACATCGAAGCGCCCAAATGTGTACAAAGTATTATTTCTCCTTCCCAGATTAATTCACTATAATATCAACTCACCTTGTCCAGGGACGCTAGAGCTAAGCCAATGACATCAAGTAGAACTTGGTGTACCGCCTCCGTCGGAGATGAGCCAAAGAGTGAGCAAGCCTTAAAAAGAATCGAAGAGAGAAGATGATTCACGAATTAAACAACAACACATGCAAAGATACAATGAGGGTAGCACTAACCAGTTTTACCAACCCCAAAAGTGATGCCCCGAACTCAGCTGAATTAAACTGCTGTCTCCATGAAAGGTTCTGAGGCACGGAATGAAGTAGACAGGTGACATATTGCAGAAGGCGGGAAAGCACTGGTACACTCTGATCTGATAGCACGGGGACCTTTCTTTGTGTGGAATATGTTTCAGAATCATGCGGGAAGGTGTTCGAAAATACATCACGAATCCTTTGATGGACATAGGACGATAGATTTTGGGCGCTGAAGAGAGGAGTGTAGAAAATCAGTGCAACATGGTACAAAAAAGTGAATAAATCGTGGAGAGTAATGAATAGTCAGTACAGCTTTCGACAGAGGAAAATGTTAGTAGCTAAGGTAGCGTAGATGGTTGTTGGTTTGTTCACTGAGCTGGGCAATCTGATCAGAAAGATTTCATCACCAATCGAGGAGACATTATCAGTGCGTTGTTAGGGGGCGTAGTGGTGCACAGCGATGGGTTGTTGGTTGTGCACAACTACCGTTTCTGCATTTGCTTGTCGAACTGAACGGATATTCCACAGAATCTGACGCTTCCCACGGAAGACTAAGTAATATTTTCAGGGGAAGCAAAAGTACCTGTACACTCCAAAAGAATGTCCACGCGCTAAGACTCCCAGCAACGGGGACTCGATTATCTTACTAGCGTTCTGCCATTCTCAAAGCTCCATAGAACGCTTATTTCTGGTATCTCAAAAAGAAGGTCTGTATATTTCACCTTCCACTGCATCTCCTCTTTGCTGTTCCACCATGTAATCACAATGTAAAACAATGTAAACAAACAGTGACTACCTTTCTAGGGGATACCGTAAATATTCCGCGGCGATGTTAAGCGTAAACTCCATAATACATTCCGGCCAATGAAAACATCCAAAAGCTACCCTACTAGTGACTTTACCCAAATTTAAGCAAAGTGCTTCACCCGAATGTGTAAAAGAAACGACCATAACTCTTTTCATATCCAGATTCAGCCGTCCTACTGAATGAACTGTTCAAAACTTGTCCCCAACTCGCGACTGATTCATGTTGGACGTCATAAGGTTTTATTTTAGAAACTATTGAAACGGAAGACAAATGCCTACAAAATTCGAAAACGACTCAGTATATATTTAGCAATCCCAAAGCGAAGAAAATAACAATTCACCTTAACCAAATGAATGAAAACATCACGTTGAAATACTGCTTCGTAAACTTACTGTGAATCACCGATAACTAAGGCCTCGAAATTCCGTATTATCACTTGCTGGTGTGGGGGTGGCAGACTTTCAAGAAGTTCAAGGTACTAGAACATGACGGAAACGGAGAGCAAACGCAAGATTTATGTGAAGCAGTCACGTTGAAGTTATCATACAGAGAAGTACTGAAATACGGTCCCCTTCCGGACATTGTTCTATCAAGGAAATGTAACTGGTATTAAGGGATTATCAAAGTAGAGAACCGCAAAGGTCGACCCTTACAGTGGATTGCGAGCAACTGTGCTATACTGTTCCCGTGGAGCTTTCGCACTCTCATGCCACATTGTTGAATGGAAACAGCTGACATACAAAACTCTGGACCTACAGATTGGGGTGTATGTGACGACTTGTTCCATAGAAGTTGTGGTTATTCGACTGTCTTTCGACGACTACCGCCTCACGGTTATGTTTTACAGACAAACGCTTCGGTTAGGGATCGTTATAGGTCTGACATCTTGAGAGTTTTTTGACTTGCATACAACCGGGAATCAGGCAAATACCATTGACTTGACTTCACGCCGGCTAAGTTGCCTTACTTACTGCATACAGCAGGGATGGTGAGAGGGATAACGCTGTCACCTCCAGTCATTATTCAGTGGTACATCTTGACTTCTCTCATATTCCAGTTAACGATCATTATTCTATGTAACCCAGTTATAGGTAGACCAGTTTTGCTCCGAAAGAAGTGACCGATAACCTCTTCGCATCCGACTATCCAAACTCGTTCCCCAGTATTTGTCACAACTTCTGTTATGTGGATTCTTAAGCAAGTCATTCAACAAGCGGTTACAGTTCGTACTACTGACACTCCATCGCTGGACATTCACATCATTTCCGAAACTGGAATACAAAGTCTAAGTACGAACCCCAGGAGTTTCCGTGGCTGCTATGGTGGATTGCATCGGTATTGGTCTAGCTCTCAATCACCCACTCTGGAGCCTGCTAACTCAATCCTATCCATGCTAACAACCACCTTTGTATTCGCCTGTCAATCGCGTCCCTTTCCTGTCAAAGCTTCGCGCGTATTTACCAACCAACTGTAATGCTGATACGATAGGCGATGCATATTATCGCCTTCTATCAGGCAAGAAATGTCCAGATACTACCAAGGCCTCCGGAGCTCTCAGGTCACAACAACGATGTTTCGGTTAATTAGATGTGCGACCAGGCAACCTATTTAGCTCGAACTCAAAACGATACTTACGTCTTTGTGCGGATTAACAGTCCTTGCGCTCCCTCACCCTGCTGAAGAGCGATAATGGAGCCAACCAGTGGCTAAAAAATATGAGGCTCCACTCTCGGCTGTCAATCATTCTGGGGTAATCATATCGGTTCGGATCATTCTCCCGTGAGGTACAAATTTCCGACGAGTTTCCCTAGAAAAATGCAGACTCTTGTTAAGCCCTTGAAGGATGTCCTGACCATTAAGCATGTGGTGTCTCTGAACGCTCATCAACTAAGCACGGGATTTCAAAACTATCAGTGTCCTTCTCAACAAAAACCATGTATTACTCAGCATAATTCAGCCGAGTTTTTTTTAGATATCAACTCAATCATGGCATAGTGCGGATAGAGAAATCTAATGGAGTCAGGTGTAGATAGTGCGTCTCGGAATGTTTGCAAACTGTTCCACTCATTCACACAACAGGACACAAGAAACCGCTTGTCAGTGAGTGGATCAAAGAGATTGAACAGTTAATATGTGGTGACCACGGAGTAAAATCTTCAACCTCTACCTCTGCGCCCATGCCTTCCTTTTGACATGCTCGAATTGAGCAGGTCTCTCTAAGTGTCTGTGAGTTTACACCATCCCTTAGCTCTTCAAATAATGATACACCGCCCGACTCTATCCGGCCAGAGGGCCAGATAAACCACCATCAGTAGTATTCGGAAACGTCGATGGAACGTTGTGTTCTACCGTGTAAAAATCATTTGAATTAATATGAAAGCAAGAACTACACCACGACACCCAAAGCTACTACTCCAAAGATTAGGATGTACGTTTTAACAGTCGTAACGCGGGTGAGAACACCAATAATACTGCGACTTCTCAAGTCGCGAAAATTCGGCGGCAACCGGCAGGATTCGGACCAGGTAGGGGATAAATGGACTATAACTTCACATCAACTTAACTGCTTGGGGAGAGCGACGCACACAATCTACCACCAGTGGTGTCTTACCTTTACTTTAGATGTACCTTCGACTCTCTGTATACATTAGCTCTCCCACACATACTTCCCAACCAAAGAGTGCAACCGTGCCGTTGTTATGGGCCTTCGACTACAATAATCTCGCGGGTTACGCTGACAATTTCGCTTCACAAAGTGCAACCATGTCATGAAGGCCAAAGGGGAGCGACCGGACGAAGAACAGCAAGCCCCATACAACGAATAGCCATAATGCGAGACGGTCTGAAATTACAGTCAAACCGTTCCTTATGACAGAACTATAAAGGAAGTAAGCTGTTTCCTCCGGCCGACCAGCATGCCCATGCTTATGGAGACATCGACGCTGCCTTTCATCGAAAAAGGACGGGTTAGAAAAGGTCGACCCAAAAGACCGCACACTTCGATCACTTAACCGTTGGTCGTGACCGCAGTTGCATTAACCAATCCGACCGAAATATGGCTTAAACCTACCAAGGTGCCAATGGGGCACATCTGCCACATGCAGCAGCTTCAGGGGTTAGACATCTATGCCTTACCCCATGCAAACTCATGATAGACAAATCCCATGCAGCCAAGCGCTACAGGCTACTGACTCCAGGCAACCCCCTTAGAAAACCCTACCTTGTGGCTCAGGATTTTAAACGAGAGGCTCAAACGAATCCCATGAACGGTCCCGACCGCACTCGCCCACATTTAGCGAATGCCTTCGTGTTTACACGGATAGCTTTAACCATCATAAACGTCGACTACGGTTATGGCATACTAATTCATCCCTGTATTCATTCAACCATCCAAAAATGCCACACAGAGACTGATATATGAACTTGGAGACCCTCCGATAGTATTCACACGATGTAGCCGTCTTTTAAAACATCACGCTGAGCGGTTAACATTCAAGTGTTTCGCCCAAAAATCTGCGATTACCAATACCCCATAGACCGTGTCCCGTTTTCGGATGTAACAACTGTCACGATCGCTCGGATATAACTCAATTTCCATGCCATCTGTGAATGAATTCCCTCCCCGAAATGAAATTCGGAGGAGACGTAGAAAACGGATAACCCGAAAAGTGGTGAAACCTTATCGCAATTGCAAAACGGTTGTCCACTTTCAAGGGAGGTTGTAGGTTTTACAGGATTACTCAACCTTTCGGAGCAAAGTTCGGTTATTCGTTCCTTAACAAACGCCACTATTGTTGAGTGAAACGTCGAGCAATTAGACATCACGGTAAACCAGTTGGCTTTGTTGGAGAGTGAGAACGCTCAATTATGTCCGATGCAATCGAAACTCACTGACGGTTGACAATAGCTTGTTGAAGGAGAGAGGTCAGCTACTATCTAGGATCAAGCTTCAGTGAAAATGCGCGAAGTAATGGTAATGACGCGCAACAGAGAAATAATAGTGCACCTCTGCTTCTCAACGTGTGTTACCCAACTATGCCAGAGGAAACCCATAAGTGATGAACTTTAGCCATAATTGAAGTAAACACTTCATCAGGAAAAGAAAAACAGAACAGCAAATCAAAGATGTCCGATAGCTCAACAACTATGTCGCTTCGGTCACTGGACGAACACTACAGGGGGACCTTTTCTAGGATATGACCTCTCTTACAGGTAACTCACCCTGCACTGCAGATAATGTGGGAAATTTCGCGGTTTTTTGGGGTTGGGAGGAGTAATCTGTTAAGTTGTGTTGTGCGCAGGAATGCCCTCTCCTACAGAACATGAAATGCGACAAAGTGCATTTGTAACACTATTGAAAACCTGGTGCTCCTCGTTGGAGCAGTGAAGGTTCACATTCAAAGAAGAAACCATTGGGCAGAGACGACAAATTCATATCTACGTCTATCCTAACTTCTGGGTAATATAAACACATAGGGAATGTATACTAGTGTATAAACATCGTACCCTTTGACAACTGACTGAACATTCTTCCCGGATATCCGAGTGGAGCACACACTGAACGAGGCATCTGGACAGTAACCACCAGATATCGTGTTCCGGTGGAAACACAAATTCGCTGTGTTCTGGCGCGGAATTCGGCGTCATTTTCACAGCAAATTCGCACACGGCTAGCGTGCAGCTTGTTCGTTCACTGAGTAGTGGGAAATCAGGAAACTAAGAATATGAATCACTTCGAAAATCGAAAATCACAATCACGAAGGGAACACCATGTAATATTGACGACAGAACTGCCAACAAAGGGTTTTTACGAGTATCCACTGTTGATGGGAGAATAATGGCAACATATTTGGTCATTTGTTTTGATTGAGTTTTCCAATGATAGTGTTATTTTATTACTTCATCAGGATGTGCTAAAAATTGCCAGCTACATGATCTGACCTGAAAAAAATATCTGGTACCCAATATATTTGGTACACAAAAGAGAACAACCGCTTCTGCTGGGCAGACGCTCCCAGTGGCTTTAAATTTATCCTCCAGGCAGCTCGGTCCCCGATGATGACACTAGAATATATACCGTCCACTTAGCCTTCTTCGTGTTCCTTCGCGATTATTCTGCTAAGCTTACTCAAGTTTCGCTCTTATTAGAGCTCATTAGCCAGGAACATAGTCTGAGATGCGTCAGGATCCGTATCCGGGTCATTCTATGTGGGCGACCAACGAAACAGTAGATAAACTAAACGTATTTAAATTATGTTCGTTTTTTGGGCGAAGTATGTGGCATATCCAATAGTCTGAAAGAGAGCCTAGTGACTGTCCTGTTTCTGCTCATCAACTAACTCACCTGTCCCAAAATCCAATGGTGCTTTCTGACCGGAACGTCTTGAGAGTCGAATCGTTTGGAGAACACAAACGTGAGGGCACGTTCTCCCCGTATGCAGCGTGCGCTGGTGTACTACTCTTAGAATGCTCGCATAGTGAATGACCGAAGTTTAAACAACAGTAAGGCGGAGGATATGCAATGCCAGTGAGTCAAACTCGGGTCCAATGTTTATCGCTATGGTGTGGACTCAGCCAAATTATTCTGCCCATAAGGGGGGAGAATGCGATGTGAGTGGGAATTCGATAAATCTCAGAACCACCAATAAATAAAAGTAGTATGCTTGTGTGTACCACACACCCTTGGTTTTTCTCCCACCCAGCTCCTCTGCAGGCGTTCTAATCCCACTGACAGCCTGGATGGCCTACCAATAAGTTCCCGATGTACAACACACTGGTGATCGTCTGTGCTTCTGACGCTCTAGTAAAAACTTATGAATAGAAATGTTACGGGCAGTCGATGAGCTGTCTCATCCATTCATTTTTAGGATCTTTTCCAGAAAAGCCCTATCACTAATGCAAAAAGTACATGTGCGGAAAGTTAAGCCCCGCCACTTTTTGCCAGCTCCAATTTAATGTTCGCACACAACATTGACCTATTTTTGATGAAAACAATTCATTATCCGCATCTAGGCTCATTTTGTGAAAAATTTTCTCCGTTCGGACGTAACATCTCAAATCAATTCTCTGACGCTTTCAACTCTCGCTCATGACAAGGAGACGGCAATACGTCCTTTGCAAAGCCACGGAGTGTTCCATCAGCAACGGCCACCAAATGTCATTTTCAACTGTTTCTGACAGGTGGAGGTGTAATGCTCGACAGTGTCGGAAAAAAAATCGGTCTTCGAAAGGGAACTTGGCTGGAGTGGTCTAGGATGGAGTTTAGGACAGTAATTCTATTCATTCATTGCTAGTAAAAAAATTCGGCAAAAATCAAATTCTGTTCAGAGGAATTATCAATTAACCACACGACCACTTCGCGAGGTTTGCGCCTGGCGGCTTTTGCAGACTTGAACAGTTATCGGCGGCCCAGGTCTACACGTCGGGATCGACGAAACGCTAAGATCTTGCCGTAAAAACCACGCAGGGCGAGTCCTTTCCCAGAAGTGGGTTTTCGGAAGGATCTGCCGGGAAACCAAAGATGTGTTCATGTATGCAGTGCCAGATCGACCCGCGGCCACTTTGATGGACACACTCCCGGCTCAATCATCACCTCCGATATGTGCAATTGAAACGATGCTTGGGATGAATTATACTCATGAAACGGTTAACCATAACGAAAAATTCGTGGATCCAACAACTGGAGCTCACACGCAAACCATCGAATCTCTTTGGCACGTCTACAAGATGCAGAATAAACGCCAATGCGGCATACACCGATCTTTAGTTGACAGCTACTGGTGTGAGTTCGTTTGGAGGCAAAGGTAGCAATGACATGTCCCATTTCACCCCCTTCAATAAAAACTAAAAGTTACCCATTTCATATCCTCTTCTTTCTCATCTTTTTTGGGTGGCGGGGGTTAATTTTTTGGCGGGGCTTATTTGGAAAAGATCCCATTTTCGCTTACCAAATCACGTCCAACTGAAAGTTGCGTTTCTGAACATAGGTGAGCAATAAACGGCAGTAGGTCTCCACCCACGAGAAATTTGTGATAATATGGGGTAAAAGCAGTCCATGAAGTCTTGTTATGGTTTTGATCATTTATATGCAATGATATACGTCAGACTATTTCTATTCAACCTGATCCTCCAACTTGAGGGATCTAGACATTGAGCATCTTTTCTCAGATTGTGTCGATATCAATGAAAAAATCAAAATTATGGGAATTATCTGAAGCACCAGCTATATTCGCTGGGCGGCAAGTTTTATCAACTTTTCTGCTCAAAACCACTGCAGAAAACTGGTACTTTTTATTGTTAGTCGTACCTGGAGTGAGAATAGACGTGTGATTCATGCACAATTTCCTTCCTTGAAATATCTAGCAAGACCATGGGATCGACTTCCACAATATTGTTCCGGCCGAGATCTTAGATTCTGTGCATACTTCATTATCTGAGTTACCGCACCAAATAGTGATACACGAAGTGCCAAAAGTGTGAGAATCTGAGTGGCTGGTGACACGTTAACTCACGTATCTAATACACGATTGTCAATGTGGATTCCGTGAAGGCATCGGGCAATGACTCCTGACGCTCGGGACAGTCCACGAAACTCGTTACAGAGGGCTCAGACGCGCGATCTATTGTACTCAATTTTTCATGTACCGGCAGTAAGCCATATGTGTAAGACTGGTACCATCTTCCTCGCGTCCATACTCGAAAATATCGCCTCCCCCATTCAATTCCACCAACCCTGGTCATTTGTGAACAGCACTGCACCAGATGGAGTCGCTGTGGTGAGCTGCTGATGATAAAGCTAGTTTACCAGTTACCGAATTAGCCACCTTTTCATCTGACGAAAGTCACGTAGTCCCAAATTACAGTGCCTATAGCGTCGGATGAGTGGAATACGCTTGCGAGTCTGTCAGGTTTAGCATGTTGGGTTTAACTTAAAAGTAAGGCATCTGGGCTAGACTACAGCACTCTGAAGCCAAGAAATTAGTGCAAAATGCCCAGAAAATCACAAGTTACGACAAATAGGAGATTAATACTCACAAAATCGTTTTAAACTCCTGAGAAACATCAATATGGACATTTTGCTGCCTGCACCAAACAACGTAACATCTGAGCACTTTCAGCAGTTGGGAGCGCGCTGACAAGAGCAATAGCCGGAGAATGCGGACGTTCAGCAGATCGGCCGACAGAATCCGAGAATAACTGCTCAGCGTCCTTGTTAGGCTTTCCATCCAGCGGGGTTGAAAAGTTTGATGGTTGTGCTGCCCTTCATCGACCGACACAGAAAGGCCAGCCTCCAACCTGAAGAAATGTGTTGAATAGCGTTCAAGGGGCCGTTTTGGACAAGAAAACTGAATCAACCACTAAGCAGGACTGTGGGAGCGAGCTGAACCGAACTTCGTTGCTATATAAAAAAGAGCATCAAAGAACCACACGAAATAGTGTAGCGAGATCCTTTGGTATTTAACTTGAACGGGTGTTTAGACCACCAGGGGCGTTCCGTAATGGAGAGTTATGAACACAGTTCATCTAAGACATCGAACTCAGACCTGAAAACTAGAATTCCAGATAGCCAGGAGGAGGACGATCGCGTTTATGAAGATAAAGTCCCAAGGATCGAACTCATCCACGGCTCCTCGAAAACAATCCGAAAGACTGCTGAAGCTCGGTATTCTATTTGTGGGTACTCTGATAGCCCTCGGATGACATCAATTTCAAAGAAGGCAATTTTTTGTCGGCCTGTTGAAGCTCACTTGACGATTAGCTTCTTATGACAAGAGGTCACTTTACCACAGTGACTAATTTCGTTCGTCCATTTGACGTATTCTCTAAAGCAATGTAAAACAGTATTTGAGGACTGAAAACATGAGGGGGTGCGTGTTGACTCGAGTCAAAAGAGAAACCACCGCGTCAAGCACTTCTGAGTGCGAAATGAGAACAGACTCATCTTAACTATAGATGATGGATGAAAAGTACCGTGCGATTAGCATTTCCTCGTTTCCTGTGTCCAACGCAGTTTGAAAGAATAGATGGGATGTCGAGATGGAGGATTCCGAAGTACGTGCGCTCCACTGATATCGCTTGAGTTCCCCAAGACAACATATTAACTTCTTCAATGATAGAAAGCACATATCGGACCATCTAGTGGCTAACTCAGAAGACTGTGGATTCTGGAGTTGTCCAATGCAGCTCAACAAGGCCCACACACATCCCTCAATATTTGCATCTTTCCATCGTTTGGGACGAATCCGTTTATTGAGTTCAGAAGCTTTTAAATCGGATGACTGGCTTTCGTCCAACTTCATGCGCTTTGTAGCTCCAGTTCGAAGTAGACTCGGCTTTGTGGGTGAGCAGAAAAGGAACTCTTCTGACTGCTCAACATGCAACGTCCGGGAGAATTTGAGGATCGTGCGGACGACAACTTTGAAGCAAGATAACAAAACTTTGGAGATGTGGTTGTTGATATCTTCTGAAAGGGAATGGGAGGAAGAGACAAGGGAAACGTACTTGAGAGAAATCCAAAGGGTCTTGATTGCTAAATGGCCAACCGATTGGTGCCGTTTCATGCAAGGGCAAAGTGTTTCTACTGTCTTACTGTTGTAACAGTGACATCACGCCACGTGTGCGCGGGAAAAATTCACATGGTAGGGGGCCAATGAATTCGTCTAAAAAGTTGGAAGATTCTCTCAGGAATGGATTGATCAAAAATTAATATTTGAACGTCAGTTAACACCAAAAGAGCGACAACTTTTACCACACGATATAACTAATCACCGTCGGTCCTGAGTGCAACAATTGGTGACATGGAATATACGCGAAATATTTTGTTCAAAGATTTTTCAAGTTTTTAATCTGTTCTCACAGAACTGCAGGAAGAACGTTGGAACTATGTACACTCAATCGATGAAAATATGGAGAATCGAACATACCACGGTCGTTAGGATGAGCTCCTAGGCTTGATCAACAAGCTGGATTTCTGTAACAGAAGCACCCTCAAAAAATGGGCTCATCCGAGACTGGGAAGGTGAAACGGTGAACGCTGTAGACAGTGATCACGTGTGTGTTTATTTATGTAAGATGTCATCGCGGTCATACAGTTGGGCTCAACTGCTACGTCGTTCCTATCCGTGTCAGTAAAGCTGCGCTTTAAAGTCCTGATTATTCCGGACCATCAAACCTACAGCGGTGCTAAAAATGACTTTCTGTGGTCATCGTTGTATAGACCGGGTTGAATAATACCTGACATTAAATGACCATGTGGGTGCGTCTCACGTGTGTTGCGGACGAGCAGAGACCTGTTCGCATACGTTGTGAGTACCAGCTATTCATCTGTGTCCACGAAGCCGACCTATTTAGGACATTATTGATTTCTCACAGAGATGCTCTGGTTCGGTTGCCAGCCTGAACGTTATCTTTTTGTTATTTCACAACGACATTGTATACGTTGTCCTATGCTGTACTCCATGATTTTGAGTTGTGATTTTATGTATAATGTTTGGAGTCTGGACATTCCGCTTAATTACCATAAAGCCATGAGAAATGAGATATTCGGTGAGGCGTAAAAATTAAACGGAAAGGTACTGATCTGGTGCGAAGGAGTTTTATGTCCTGAGGTAAAACAATCAGGGATAATGTGTCCGCACTCTTCGGCAATATTAAAATGAACAGGTCTGAGAATCATGCCAAAGTGAGGTACCGTTAGCGTCCCCATGAACCTCCATCGATATGAGCCCAGCACACAACGACAGACTAACTTTACCTAGTCATTCTGGTTACGAAATGACAGCACGAGTACCACGAACATTATTAGCGAGCCCGTCACGTGGAAACGGGATCACACGGGCCCTAGCCAGGAAGGTGCGAAGATCCCATAGCTAAATTCTTTTCTGACGGACAAGAGTGATGGAAGTTGGCAAACGCTGCTCGTGTATTCGGTGTCCACACATTGGCTTCATCTAGGTTGGTACAATTACGGCTTATGAGGCTAACAAGATGTGTGAACAGATGAACAAAGTCAAGTTATTGATTCTCAAGTCTAAATTAAAAGAAGATGGGAAATCCTGAAGTGATATTTTGAACATTGAGGATATCAAACATAAGCCGAAGCATGGGACCACTTCCGATAATGTGTGCGAAAGGCTCCTCAGGCCTCGTTTCGCAGATTAGCTGAAACAGTTTACGTGTATTCCCGACCGCATTGGACTATTTCATTTGTGGAACTTTCTGGTTCCACCGCGCCCCTATGTTCACACACAGCCCTAGTCTAAGCTGTCATCTAAATAATCGCCTAGCCGAATAGTACTATGATGAGAGGACAGAGCACCCCGCATCAAGAGGTGGGAGTGACTGTTCTGAGATCCAGTGATTTGTGTTCACGAGTTCGAAAAGACTACAAGCAGAGCTTCCGGGGTCGTGTACAGCTGTGGTTATCCCACTTACGATCAGCATTCTCCAGGGACACCGGTTTCATTACAGTGCGTAGTAATCTCTGGTGTATCGCCCCAACTTATGGATGTCAAGGCTTTTCTACCGCCAAATGAAGAGCTCTACGAAGTAAGTGCCATCAAGGAAGTAACCGGTGAACGGACGTGCTCTACATATGCGTTGAAATGTAGTGCCATTATGACTTTATTTGAATCGGGCGGGATGGCCCGAATGGCTAGAGAGCGATTTTACTGACCGGAAGGTCTGTGGTTCAAACCCGACCTCTCTCTGCCTCTCGACTTCCCCTGTCTAGGCTTGAGCAACCTGGCAGTATCCCAGCCCTCATGCAACCTTCGGGTGGCATGGCAGTTAGGCACCGAAAGGGTGCTACAGCTGAGTGATTATTTCTAATATTTGGATTCCTTGTAGTAGTGGTGATCGGTTCTCGATGGGAGATGACCGTCAACCACTCAGAGCAGCAGTTTGTCGGTGCATAAATAGATACGGTCGACCAGGGTGAATTTTCATCGGAGCGGACAGTCGAACCGAAGAGATCCAACTAGTTACGTGTATCCAGTAGAATAATGAAGCCTCAGCTCAAGAACTGGATGTTATTCTAGCATCATCGTCAACAACACAACATCAGTGTTTAGCTCTGATGCTTCGCTGCTGTTTCAACACCGGCGAACGTGGCGCAGTAGCTGCAGTATCATCCGAAGTTCGCAGTCGACAGCGTCTGGACAGAAGCGATGTACTAAGCCAAACAACTTTACTTGGATTTCGTATTCGTGTTTGAGGGATACAGCAGATGTGAGACGACAAAGTCAATGGTTAGTCAGGCTTGGATAAACTGGTGCAGATAAAGGACCATTTGGTAGCCGAAGATTGAGGCAAAATTTGGCGCTAAAGGTATCTCGTGACGGTATTCAAAATCGGAATTTCTATACAGATGTCCCAGTTCAATTCAGAGGATCAAGTAACGTGACAATGCAGGTGGTTATAATTTGCTTAAAACACTGCGTGCGTCCGGTTCATTACCTGATAACGTCGTAATCCTCGAAGAATTGTTGCCTGAACTCATATGGTGAGACGGGATTAGAATTCAGGAGCTCCGGACGACAGGCTAGTACGCATGCAATATTCCACACTTGGTTTACCCGGGACTTTCACCCCATGACAACGGCCCTTTTGCGTTTAATCGTGTTTGGATATTGAATCCCATCCCTTGCTCGCGGTAACATTTTGAAACTCACTTACACCATGCTTATCGAGCATGTCCAGTTAGAATGAGTAGCAAAGCGGTGAAAAAGACTGGTTACGACTCAGTTCCACACAAAAGCATAACGGCAAAAACATGCTAGTAGCGTAGGCTAACTAACCTGTCGGATTCGTACTGGCCTGCACGAAAACAATCAAGTCCAGCAAATGAGCGAATATTTGAAACACATGGACCTCCACAAGCTCTTGGTCCTTACTAAAGAGAGAAAAAGGGAAGGGAAAAAATAAGCAGCCAAACAGAGCCTTAAGTTCAAAAGTGCACAGCGAGCGGCACAGTTGCGGAGCTTGGCAAGGTGTTCATAAATAAGTTAGGGGAATGAAGTGCTTAGAAAGACAAGCAGCAGGTCGTCTGAGAAGTAGTAATGAGCCTGGCAATGGTGACATCAGCATTACCATCATCATCAGCTGTAAAAAACTGTTGTACAGTGTTTATAACTGCCACAGTTTCGGTCACCGAGTATTTGGGGAGCTATGAGTAGATAGCTACGCATTGGAGGTGGTAATTGATGTAATTGATGTGTAACTACAGTGGACTTTTAAGTGGCTATATGGGACGAGAAAGCTATGCATTGTAGTCAACAGCTTGGGTGCATGACTGTGTCTCTAACCAATGATGTGTTCTGTCTCGTCATCCTCGACCAGGGAGGTGGCGGTGAACAGCGCAGCTGAGTTTGCTGGTTATGGCTTTTATACTTCGTTGCCAAGTTATTCTTTGACCTCCCCTGGCTCGTTTCCACCTTTCGCGAGGTTGAGCGAAAAGAGCACTATGAGGAATTCTGTCAACTGATATACGGATTACATAACCAAGCCAGCTCAACCTATGAAATGTAATCAATTCACTTACCGTGGATGAGTTATTTCTTCCGATAACTATCTGACGTACTTCAGCATTACCGATCCGATGTGCCTACCAGACTGGCGCAATACTCTGAGGCACCGATAGCCCAACACCACAAGTTTTTTTACTTCCTCAGCGCGCAGTGGTCAGGTTTCTGACCTAGGTGAGATTATGAAGCGCAGTGCACTATTGTAAACTAGACGCTTGACGGATAAGATGATATCGCGCCCGCACCACAGATGATGCAGACTCACGAAAGTTGCTCTGGCCTTCCCAATCCGGATGAAAATATAGCCCTTCGCTAGACCACCGGGAATGATACAACTGTCCAGGTAGACCAATTTGTCTGCTACCCCAATCTTCTCACTCACAAAAATGAGGTTAGGGTTCGAGTCCACTCAGTCCGTGAACCTTTTTCAGAGGTGAGGATGACTGTCGATGTGTCTCATTCTGCAGGTATTTTCTCTTCACTCTATATCATACCAATGAGTTTTGTCAAATGGGTCACAAGGGATTCTCCGCCTCCTTTGAAGGGGCCGGGATACAGGCCGTTCGGTTCTGGTTCGCACTTCAAGAAGGATATTTCGTAGCCTTTTTCTCCTTCCGACGGTCGATTAGGGTTTACATTCCATTCGCCTGTATGCACTCAGAGGCTGTGTTGCACCAGGCCGGCTAAACGTGTTCCGTCCATCCCTCTAGTCAGCGTTTCTGTGAGCGACTTAGTGAACTGACCACTACTTTCCTATAGCCACTCAATTGCATTAATTTGTACCAGGTATGACCGTTTCCAGCGGCAAGAGTCTTATCCACCCACAAAGCTTTTATTGTCCACTAAAGCCACCAGCCTTTCCTCAGGCTGGTGGCTTTAGTGGACAGAATCATATAAATATATATATATATGTATATATATTGTATGCATTCACTCGTTTGATCACTTGATTTACTACTCTCATTGGTGTTGTTAGAGTAGGGATTGTTCTTCGAGTTTTAAACACGGATTCAACCATGCAAGTGAAGTCAGCCAACTTGAGAAACTTAGGAGCACTACATGCTCATAAAATTCATCTGCCAACCGTAGTCAGTAGAGCTCAAAGGTTATTCCGACCTCAGCAGGTGTTTTCTTGGTTGTAGTCTGCGACTGTGCAGCGGCCTAGTCAAGTGGTGTTTACTCAATGCGTTAGCAGAGATTCACGAAGTGCGTCAATGTAACACGAAGTCAGTGTCTTACTAGCAAAAAAGAACACTTATTCATGCGGTCCCGCTATTATTTCTCGGCCAAATTGTCACTTGCAGATGTGTCAGTCGGTGAGACAGAAACGAATCCATGAAAAATCCAAGGGCTCATTCACTTGAGTAAACTCTTTTAGTGAGCTCCAAGAAAGGCAAAACCGGTAGTGGGTTGTCGCAGAGTTTTCAGCAGCCTTATAGAAAGTGTCCTACAGAGAGAAAAACTCTGCTGATCTTGTGTGAACGTACCATAGAATAGGAAGAATGACCTTTTCCAACGCGTGCAGGGCACCCAACAGACCTTCGGGCTGCGGACCCGTGAGAGATGAATGGACGCGCGACAGCACCAACAGAAATGTTTCATCGCTACAACTTGGTTGCCTGTCTTGACCAGTTTGATTTGTCGTGGAAAAAAGACGGACACCGGGGGAAGAACTCACACGAGCACGACGAACGGAGAAGATGAGAAATTTATATAGACACCGGGCAGCCAAGTTTTGCAGGACTCCACAATTCGGATGTACAGCTTTTGGGAGACATAAGGTAAAGTGAACGAGGCATCATTAAGAGCAAGCGACAGTGTCGTGGTGCGATGCCTTCAACAAGTGCTAAGAGGTCAAAATACTTAAACTTCAGTGATGCTAGACGTTGTCACAAACTGTTGAGCGGCCCCACCTCGTTCGGTCTGGTTGAAGCTGGTGATGCTTCAGAGAACACAAATTCAGAGAACAGAATGAGATTATCTCTTGTCGTACCATCGTATCAAACCTCTGGCATGTAGGGTCGTTGCAAAAGAAGTAGTGTAGATTGACCTCATTGTGCGACTCGAATGGACAATTTCATGCGCCGCCTTCTATGTGTTCTTGCACGTCACCAAATAAGTAACCCGTCGCGTTGTTCGGCGGTTGTGCTAATAGCGATGCGCGTTTGGCCCTTCAAATAATGAGAGTGGGTTGTTACTGTGTGTGGTATTTTAGCAATCTTTCGGGAATCAATTGGCCTACTTAACGCCAGAACTCTAAAGCTGTTTACGGGAATAATTTTTCATGATGATAAGAATACATGTCTAGTATATCTCTCATTCACACATCAGTGGGATCCATTTGCCCTTACTTGTGGGCTATTCGAATTTTTTTACGGTTAACTGGAAAGCTGCCTATTTACTTGACTCCCGTTTAACTGGTGATGAGCGAATGCATACTCTGGAACTCGCGCTCTCGGTTCACCGCTCCTATACAGAATAAACAGGACAAATTTGCCGTGTATATATCGTTTTTACTTCGACAGTAACTTCATTCTATTTGAAATGTTAATCGCTGTTCCAGCTCCTGGAAAATTCAGTCTAAAACGGGTTAACTTTAAAACAGCAATCAACTGCGTTGCCTTCTGGACACATCATATAGTTCGGTGCCTCACTTACGCTGCTCATTGTTTTGTTGTGATAAACTTGGTCAATTCAGAATGTCCATATGGAATATGGTTAGTTAGGGATCTTTTTATTCCTGGTACTTCATTCTTAGTAGCTGAATAACTGGTTTGGATGACATGCACAGAATAATAACAACAATACGCAAATATTTGTAACATTCGCTTTCCTAGACTGTTACTGATGCAAAAGGAACAAGGAGGAGCACCTTCTTTGGCAGTGCGGCTGGTGAATAGGCTTCTCAATGAGGCCTGTGCCAACATCTTGGATAACTGGTACAACGGTCTCAGACTCGCTCGGATCTAACGACATAGCACTCTTAGCATGGCAACAATGTTCTAGAAAGTTAAATAATAAAAACTCAACAAGTACGAAGGCATCGATGTGTGGGGCTTCATTCACAAATAGCTACCAGCATGTTAGCAAGAAAGGAAAAAGGATGTCACTTTGCTGACGCCAATGCGTCATTATTTAAGTGGGTGAAACGTACGACAGAGCCCTCAACAACTCATTTCCACAATTAGTAACTTCATCGCGTTTATTAATATCCACAGCTGTTCGTGTTTTTATAGCATTCATAGTCTTTTGTTTTAAGTAGCTGCGACACGGTTTCATACCTAATTTGGTGACTAGGTCTCCATTCAGCGTTTCAAACCAATCGTTGAATAGTCATGAAGCCGGATAAAAGCAACCTTACGCACAAGACTCTGCATCCTCGGATGCACCTCTGTCAGGGTTTGAGGCCTATAGGCAACTTATCTGGGACGACTGTGTCATGGACACGCACGACGTGAGAATAGGTCAGGAGGGCAAATATATCAAGATTAGCCCCAAAAACTTCCCATCCTCAGTAGTAGGATGCATACTCGTGATGCCTCACAGCACAATGGGCAAGTGCAAGTTAGCAAACCGTAAGCACACTTACCCCTTGCATCGGACAACGTCGCCATCGAAGGTGATTGTTCTTGCGATGCGAAGACTGAATTATCTCCCAAACATAAAATATCCAAGAGAACTTTGAAAAAGCATACGGCATGCTGATGATTGGAAGCTGCATACTCACCAAACCAGCGAGTCAGCTGGAACAGCAGGTTGGAGAACAGGCGACTAATGGGCTAGTGGTATAAGAACGGAGGGGAAGGAAATAGACGAGACGCAATTTTTACCATTTCATTTGGAAATCACTTCGAAAATCACCCTTGGGAAGAAACAGCTTTTCGACCATTTTGTTGAGCTTCGGGGATACTTTGCTACCAGTTGCATCAAGTGCCATGCTAACGACCTTGACAAAAACCAAACAAGGTGTCTTTGTTCATCCCACTGTCAAGCTGGAATAGTCGTATATGATTTTATACTCCATCACAATGTTGACAATACCAATACAGGTATGAATACACACGGAACAACAGCAGTAACACAGCACGCCTCCCGCTGCACGCTGAATGGGCTCTCGGATCTAGTGGCAGCATACACGGGATAGGAATAAGCAAGGAATAAGTGTGGCAGAGATACTGCCAAGGGCGTACTGCCTGAATCCGGCCTCTTTTTCACCAACCTCAACAAAGCGGAACAAACCGAAAATTCTCCTCATTTTCATACCCTTCATTTTTTACACTGTATAAATATTAATAAGGTGTACCTAGCCTTGTAACCCATTCCGTTGGCAAAATCAAGTTCTGTTAGCGTCTTTTTCTTCTGATTTTTGAGCTAAACGTCTATTGAGTAGGGCACTAGTAAGTGGTGAGCCCGCCTGGTAATTGCCGAACCGATTACGTTCATTTGTATGTCGTTACCATTTTGGTTAGACACACGTTTCACCATGCAGTTTTCTTCAACACCAGATTTCGTATTTGCACTTCTTGTATCCTTCTGCAAGAGACCTGGACCGAGATTCAGGATATTCCGGTGTTGCCCATGGAAGCTGTGAAGCTAAAAGCAACTCTCTGTGACCATCGTTGTACAAGCACTGGCTAGCCACACGTTTGTTTTGGATACATTTCCTGAGTGGTGCGAGCCCCTAGATGGCCGTATGCACGCACTGTCTAGTTGTACCTACTTGGATTGACGATCCTGGGCCACCAGTTAGGTATACTGATGGCCAAAGAATCACCACCCGTTTACATTGCGGTCTTCCACCCTCGGGTTTACATACGGCGTTCAGGTGGACGCGAATGCGCTTCAGCGCAGACCGTATGTGGAATCACTCGTTGCACGTAGTTGATCATCAGCGTATTTCGATGCGTCAGTACAATCCTGAATTGACAAGATGGTCATGAAATGATGGTCGCTTTAACCAAGTGTGCTGCTAGGGTCAATCATAGGGATTTTGGAGCCAACAACTGAAGTGTCTCCAGGATCCATCACACAAGCTGATTCCTCGTTTTCGTCAGTGTAATTAGGCTTACGTTCGATGCCGCAAAACACTTTTAGAATTTTTCCTGAGCTAATGCACTGGGTCTTCAAAACTATCGTAATCACGTACAGTTATTCCACTTTTCCATCGTCTAAATGACAGTGAATAATGTTTTATTTGGTCACACTTTCCTTGCACACACCTTTTCTTATAACTATTGACCAAATTCTAGCCAAAAGGGGTCGATTCCACTGATCTGATGCCCTAACCTTATGTGCCACGTTTTCGGTCTTCCTTTCTCATCGACTCACCGTAATGATGGATTAGCTTGTATGTCATTCCTCACACACATTGGCCACCGTTTGTGTCATTTCCGCCGTGCGAATTTGCTACTATTCCTGCACGGCTGATCCATATTTGACGTCCGTTATGGTTCTCCGATCATGCTTCCTGTCGCAGTTCTCTGATCTGTTTGTTTCATGAAGATTTGTTTGCATTGCTACAATCGGATTGTCACTATGATCAGAGGCTTCGATCATCCTGATTACTAATCAAAAGCTATCTCGCATTTTTGGATAAATGTTCCTTACAGGATATTTCACGTTGCGTTTGAACGTATTTTCTCTCCTAAGGTATATCCCACAGCACAAGTGTTGGCATTTACTCAAGTAGTTCCTTTCAAGAGGGATTCGGTCCGTATCGGAGGAATCAGACTGGGAGGATCTACAATACTTACCGGCATTTTGTTAGCAGCAACGTAAAAGCTGGCAAGAAACAGCTGGCGCCATAAGGTGAGATCATACAGTGCCTCAAGGACCAGCGATTTGGACGGTGAACGAACGGGGCTATCAATCGATGTCGAACGAAATATGTGACCCTGGAGACTCTGATCAAACGGCGTGAGTGATTTTGTGAAAGAAGTGTAAAAGTCTACATCGAGGACTTTTGACCGGAATGAGGGTATGGTGTTAGCTGCCTTCCCAACCATGAACACCACAAGCGAATAGAGGTATTCCACAGCGGCACTAGTGCTAGGCGTTGTTTGTGCAGCAGAACTGACTTCTAGCACAGATCTTAGTAAACTGTGGTCGGTGAGAGAAAAGGACGGTCGGATATCGGCGTACGGTAGACAGAGTCGCAGTCCTACCGACGAATATTCCAACGGGAACTCAACCGGTCTGAACTCTTGAATGCTCGATGAAGTCTGAAACGAAGAGGCAACAATGTATCATCAAGTAGCAACAGAGCGAAGCATTCTGTGTATTACCTTAGCCTCTATGATTCCCACTTTCGACTGCAATATTCTGTGAACTGGTACACAAAAGGCACAATGATCAAGGGGTCCACCATTCTTGGCGGAATACACTCATTTGCATGCCTATTTGGTTTAGACGGGAGACTCACCTGGAACCCAGCTAAATCTCTCGTTTGTGATGCTTATAAACAATCGATTGGGTTACACCAGGTTCCCTCATTTTATAGATGGTACGACATTCGAGATATCGCGATACATGTATGGACGTAATACACAACTCACAAGGTTGCTGAAAACTCTTCGACAGCTCACGACCGGTTCTGCCCTTCTTGGGGCTCGTCGTGGGCTGCCGAAGAACGTTCAGTAACCTTATGGGTAGTGTATTACACCTGCCATTCTTATTTGGAGTAGGTTCACCATCACTTCGAAACATTTAAAGGGTGGCGACAATAAGCCCTATTACTTTCCTTCTCATTATCTGGAGCAAACACGTCTGCTTCACCTTTGAAGGTCAATGCACCATCAGATGGAGACGTATCACAATACTTTCCCAACAATGAGAAGCAATAAGGGTGGTACTACTACAAGAGTCACTTATGAAGTGTAAAGGAAATCAGGCTGGAGTGGTGCACATCAGAAGTGTTCACCTATCTAGTTCACTCCGTTGGAACTGGTGGAAATAGTTTCAAGTCATTTCAGAGGACCTGCCAGAGTTTATGATAAAGTCAGTTTTCAGAATCAGAAAAAAAGGGTTCCCAACTTGAAAAGCAGTTTAATACACGCTCATAACTACTTCGGGCTCCGAAAATTACACTTACCTTGTGACCTATAAATATAGTGAATTCGGTAGTTAATGTTTATTGATCAATCCTCGCCACTTAAACCTACAGACGAGAATAATTAAATATCTTCAGAAGGAAATCTCGAGGAATCTAGTGAGATTCTTATTTTGCTTGAGAATACCAACACAACGTAATACACAGGAAACACCCTCGGGGCTCTAGTTCTTGCAGTTACAGTGTGAAAACGCGATACAAAAGCAATAAGAAATTATGAGCGCCCACAAATACTTAGCAATATTTGAGTAGCCACTGTTTTATGTGAGAGTCAAAAACTACTTCTGAACGGGTGCGATCATAATACACATGAGGTGTTTTCGGAGCACGGAAAATGAGTATTCAGTAACATCTGTCCGCTGGCGATCAGCTGATCACGTAGCTAACACACAGCAATGGCGATACATAAGGGCTTACAGAACTGAGTTAAAAACATCTGACTGAAGCGCTATCACCTGAAATGAGCTTGCAGTTCCTCAAGTAATCTCACCAAATCTACTACATTTCGGTTCGTCAAGCTAAGCATGTCTTGGAACGATTTGCGTTTACATTCCGCAGACAAAAAGTTGAGAGAGTATGCTCAATCCTAGGGAGTGTCCAGATGTGCAGTGTCTTAAAAGTAGTCCAAATTCGCATTAAACCGGCACTTTGAGAGAAGTGGCTACCAAGCGAATGGATTTTTATGGTATACATGGTGCACCAAATCGACCATCCTTCAGGAGACTGGAAGACACAGGGATGGTTATGATGATCCACATATCTCATATACACATAAACGTATATCTTATAACATACACGTTCAGCTGTAGCACCCCTTCGGTGCCTAACTGCCATGCCACCCGAAGGTTGCACGAGGGCTGGGATACCATACACACACAATACACGTGAAAACACCTACCAATGACGCGATTATAAGCCCGCCAAGTCTGCCGAGAAGGTGGAGCAGTTCAACCTGAGCGTTCTTTCGGATCTGGGAGGGGCTTCTCGAAACGTCACCACAAGCCGTGTCGGTGACAGATGGAATGGACTGGTGAAAATCTCGCAGCCGGTTGATAAGTCGAACGGAGGACGCCAGATCTCGACGTGTCCGCCCACTGCTCTTAGCCAGTCGTTCATGGTGCTGATGCAGGAGACTGCGAATTGAAGAAATGCTGCTTGGAGCTGAGAAAGCTTTCGCGGAATCGTCAGACCACACTAGAATTTGTCGAAGAGCCGGATACAGGATGAGGAAGAAGCTGTTTGTTACGGAAGTACTCAGTTGAAATTCTGGAACCAGAAGACAATTGAACCAACGTCAAAACGCAGTGAGGACGACAGCGCACAGGATGCGGGATCTGGCCCCATAATTAGGTTAATATTGAATCCATATGATCAGTGGTAATGGGAACGTAGGGCGCGAGTACCGGGTGGGAAGCAGCGTGGTCCAAGTACACGTCTGAACTACCGGTTGCTTTCGTCTAAGCCATGGTTCGAACACGGCAGACGCCCACCTAAAGGAGACCTAGCTGAAATGTCGACAAATATACTTCTGTCCTGATCCAAACGAACCAGTGAACTAATACCTGCAACCAGAGCTATTTATGAATATCGGGAAAGACAAAACCAGAACAGCACTGAGTCACCGTTTGGTCCCAAACGCGAAGCGACCCATGAAGTTCTACATAGCGACTGTCAAAGTTTGATCTACAGTGTGGCTGCCTAATACCTCAGTAAGCCAGTTCAGGACACCCTAAATGAAGACGAGAGGCGAATGGGCGATCTGCACGGAGCCGGGGAAAACTGGCCGACCAGCAGTAAAACGTGGCATATTATATAGCACAGTACGACGTACCACTGAGCCACCGATTCAGAGCTGAAATCACCGCGGCCCACAAGAATGCAAAATGCACCGCCCCAATTCGGACAGCCATAGATATCGCTGGATAAATGTGGCTAGCAAATGCTAACACATTTTCGCTGTGTCTATTTGTTTTCTCCGTGTCACATTGCCCAATAGGGGCAATAAAAGTGGCGCCAGGAAGCGAAAGAAGACAAAGCAGACGAGAAGCAATCCGCTGATCCGCCTCTGTCCGGTCCACAGGATGTGATGTTATTTGAACACAGAGGTCAGAGGAGAATTCGGCAAGGCGGCGTTGGGTTTCAAACCGAGCTTCTGGAGACCAATATGAATTCGACGATCCTGTAAAACAATGTAGTAGTTCTGTTTGGCGGTTGCCGGACCAATCGATTCAATACGTATAAATGTTTGCTCAACAGTTTTTTAGTCTACTTTCAGTCATGCACCCCTAACGGTTGTTACATGGGCAATCAAGTGGACTCAGCTGTTTGGGAGACAGGCATATTCATCTAAACTTACTTTCAAAGAAAAATTATCGGCCTCCAAAACAACGTGCGCATGCAAATAAGACCATTACTTTCATGAAGGAAACTACTCGCAAGGCTACTGAAAACTCTTAGACAACCCACGACAGATTTCGTCCTTCTTGGGGCTCACCAGGTAGCGCAGCTCCCGAGTTTCTGCCAAAATTATGTCGTACTTGAACCAAAATTGGACTGATTGCGATAACTACACTCATTTCCAAATCTATTTGGTTTTCGCGGGAGACTCAGCTGAAGCTCTCTTTTATGGGTCTTCAACCGAATGTACTACACAAAGGCTATCTTATGTTTCCGTTGGTAGGACATTCGAAATATCGCAGGACATTTTCTTGTCGAGAAGTTTTTAGCAACTTCGAGCGTAGTGTATTCAGTAAAAAAGAGTAACTATGTAGATGATTTGGGTTCTAAGAGGTTAACCATTGAGATTCTGTTCCTTTGGCTTTTAAATGAAATTCATTTCGTCAGGCACTTTTTATGCGGATGGGATGTGATCGTCCTCATTGACGGTGTCCGTTGTTCGGAGCTCAGTTGTACTAAAATTGGGTCAAGCCTACCACTCAGAGATAAGTAATATTAACACACCCATCTCGAGAACACCTGCATGAACTTACATGCTTGGCGTACGCAACCATTAGGGCCTCAAAACAAAATTCTGGTTAGAAAGGTCGTTGAGATATTTCTACTTCACATTATCTCGGAATATGTATTAATACTTTTAGAATTTTATCCAATATAAGAAACTTCAAATCTGCACCTAAATACACGGACAAACAAGACATATTCAAATACTGAACGGGTAAAGTTTTACAACAATGGATGTGACAACCGGTAAACACAGAGGAACCGAAACCAATATAGAACGAGTGGGATACAATCACAAAATGGCCCTCGCCGAACTGGATCTCGCTAAAATATTCATAATTGAGAAGTATACCAGGCCAAAATTTTTACGATGAAACTTCATTGATCAATCACAAATCCCGCGTACTTCCTTCTTCCAATTGGAGATCTGACCAGGATGGTTAATTTTGGTATGGCGGTGCTATAAACACACGTAGTATTTTCAGCATCTCCACGTTTCCCAAATCACTGCACCCCTCCAACAGTGGGCGCGTAAAAATCTAAGGGCCTGATCCCATCATTGGGAATGATATTCATCAGTGATGCTTCTTATCAATTTCGCTCGACTTTATAGTCGAATTAGTTATGGAAGTAATCTTAGCCATGTTTATTGCTCCGAGCATCGAACCTATTCTAGAGGAACTCCGAGACAGGGAGTATTCAAACGACATATGGTTTGGTGTACAATTGAATATACGCACCAAAAAAATATCGCACAGCGACCCACTAGGCACTTTATAACCCTGAAGTGCAAAGTCCCGTTGCAAGACCAAATGCAGCCAATCCCACTGTACTGAGATTGTCGCTGGAGTGCAATTTTACCGCTGCTGAATTTCTGGAAAACGATGCCATTGTCAGTGCATGCACCGCATGATCCACAATTACGAAGAGATGAGATCGTCGCCTCAGATATTTCTTGTGAATGGGAATTAGTTGAAGTGAGAAAAAGGTGGTTGGGAAAGACAAAACTGCAGTACAGTGGACGGGGAGTAAAAGCGGAAGGTGTTGATTTAAATACTTTTAGTTAGTAGGCAGTATGTAACTCGCCAGCATAAAACTCGTCAGCATGTATTTGGTTCAAATAGCGAAAGTTCCCAATAAAACTGTCAGCTTACCTTCATCGCCAGTACGGAGAAGGAAACCGGATCGCACTCCAGACGTGACAAGTAGGTTTAACAACTTGTAAAACCCAGTAAGCAAAGGGTACCTGCAGTTAAGAACAACCGGACAGGTTGTCAGCGATTGTTTACCACCATTGAGACGTGTAATAAGAAGTCATAAACTCAAGAGTACTAGAAAGGTCAAATATCTAGGACCAGCCAAACACTGAAAAATGAAGCCGTGATTAGGAACAGCCATATCAATATTGGCGACGATTTGTACTAAAACGTATGCTAAAACATATGCATAGGCCACTCAAAGATTGCATGTAAATGGAGTTTGATAGTATGCTCGTATAGGGATTTGTAAGGCCTAGTCAAAGTAGGAATACCGCAACCTCATCAAGCCGGACCATGTTTACTTTTTAAGAAAAGTCCTTTGAGCATATCACATGTCATGTGTACGCTTTAATCGACCATTACTACCCGGATTAATATAGGTATTCTCGTTTGACCAGACTACTGCACACCTGCGACACTGTAACACAAAGAAAAGACGAGTGTATACTGCTATGCCATGCAGTCCCTGAACCGAATAATTCGCAGGGTCTCAAAGTGAACATGACCTAAAAGGATCCCCAAAAAGCTCAGCAAATTAAATACTCTTGTCCTCATTGGAGCTTATCGCGTGCGTGTATGGGGGATAGAATAAGACTTATTAGTCGCTTTTATGATTTTATTATCAGGAGAAAGTATCCGCCAGCCTGTTGGCACGACTAGAGAATTTCAACTTTTTGCGAAATTTGGTTCGCATTAACCGTTGGTATATTCAGACAATCGTCTGACTATCGGAGTAGTTGGGTAGCTATTGGTCCTCACGGAGAACACGGAATTCACCAAACCACAAACCTAGCCAAGTGTATTACTCAAGAATGATGATCGACCACCCAAGATGCCCAGGCTTTCTGGTTCAAGATTTTAGGTGTCATGACCAGGTCGTGTAATGACCACCTTTGGATCGTTCCACCAACCACATATCCGAGCCCAAGAAGTTATGTGCTTGTAGTAGAACGCTGTACTCGCCTTTGTTGCAGGGGTAAACAGTTTGCAGTGTACTAAAGTCATCAAGGTTAAACTTGGTAGACAAGTTTCCAGACAAATGGAGCATGAAACTAAGCATGTATTGCTCACCTTCGGATCAGATCCAAGATCGTTTGTATCAACTCTGGAAGGCAGTGCTTGAAAACTTCCCCGGTCTCCTGGCTAAATAATGCCCTGTGAACCAAAACAGAAACAAGGCGTCATGATGGTGGTTCCAAACAGATCGATATGTGGACTGCCGAAGGTTGTTGAGTAGCTGTCTCGAAACAGAGAAGGAAAACATGGAACAGTAACCCCAGCGGAAAAAGGGTCCTCACTTACTCGTAAAGATCAACCAAGTTTACGAAGATCAATACATCTTTTGGTGTCCGAAATGAGACCAGCTGAGACTTATCGAACTCAAAGGCATCCAATTCCAATGTGTCCAGCTGCCCGTAAAAATCACCTGTAGCTTCTCCCAGACACTCCGATTTCACTATGTCATCAGTATTTGTCCAGACATCCTCATCACCATGAACAGTGTAATGTAGATCCATACGCTGGAACAACTGCATAGTTATCTTCAGGAAATGACGGCAGACTGTCGACGCGCCACTCTCATTCGAGCCTTCGGTCTAAATGTGAAAGATGTATGAGGTCGGGTTTCCGTAACAAAGCATTAAACATTATCGGTGATGTTGAAGTTATATGAATCAATCGATCATACGCCGCTTCGATCATAGATCCTTTTAGGTGGTATATGAAAATAGATTCAAAGAGTGAGTAGATGAGACATATGGAAAAGGACAGCGGGGCTAGCTTGTGCTCTGCTCAGGAAGATAACAGCGGAGTCCTTAAAACCGAATAAACCGAGATTTACGTGAATCTCTGGAGTACCGATATTCATGTCTCTGGAAAGTGATTCCCTCAACACGACCGTTCAAACGAGAGTGATGTGGCTATGAATAAAAATACCTATCCCGCAAAACTCCGAAATCCTCAACCAAACACCTGCGTTGAAGCTTCCATTTCAGTAGTCCCCTAAGCGTGGCAGGTCCTTTCAAAAAATTAGTTGGTCACCTATCAGATTTACGCCCAAGTGATGAACAACATAGGTAAGGTGTGAACTCAAAAACTTTTCTGAATAGGTTACTGTCATCGCTCATTCTGCGAAACGAGAGTGTGTGGCTATGAATAAAAATACCTATCCCGCAAAACTCCGAAATCCTCAACCAAACACCTGCGTTGAAGCTTCCATTTCAGTAGTCCCCTAAGCGTGGCAGGTCCTTTCAAAAAATTAGTTGGTCACCTATCAGATTTACGCCCAAGTGATGAACAACATAGGTAAGGTGTGAACTCAAAAACTTTTCTGAATAGGTTACTGTCATCGCTCATTCTGCGAATCATAAACCGTGGTTTTGGACAGTTGCGAGTTCAGATCACTCCAGAGATTCACAAGAGGGGTGTTGTTGATGGTCCGAACAGTGATGAAGCATATGTACGGCGTCTCGGTTTTGAGCATACATCGTGTACACTTGCAATATAGAGTTACGGCCATTTTACTCTTGGCTAAAAGTATGTGGAACATACACCTCTGAGTAGATTCATCAGACTCCACTGGTTGCAGGCACAACCATCGAATAGCGGTGTTGATCCAAGGTACACCGACGGAACGGATGAAATTCATAACAAATCTGCAGAAAGTACCGGAGGGGTGAAAACGTGTCACTACTGTAAATAACTTATAGTGGAATTCTGGGGTCTCACATACCGATTACCTCATTTAGTCAAGTAATAGTAAGTAGCTGTCATCCGAGACGAAGTTGCCTGCAAAAAGTGATTGAAGCAATGGGCACTTGCACACGGTTTAGATGAAGCTGAACCTGAGGCTAAGGGCTAACCAGATAAAAGGAAGTAGAATCGGCGCGCAATCAAGCAACCGAAAAATGATGATATGGCAGTCATACTTAAGGCCCCAGCGCAATTCTGTCGGACTGCTGTGCCTTATAAACACTGATAAACTTACAAGACCGCCCATATTTTTCAATATAATTCCACCAATAGTAGGAAGATGTCTGGTCACGTAATGCAAGAAATCAAAAACCATACTAAGAATTTACAGTATCACACCTCGTAAAAGTGACAAGAACTAGCCAAAAAGGGATAAATGAGCGTGGTAAACTATATCCCACGATACCACGATGAATTCCAACCATTCAACCTTATAGGTATAAATGGGCTTGCGATACATCTAGCGAGTTTCTGATTGACAATTCCACTGTGTTAATGCAGATACCTATTCGGTTTTGGAGTAGACAGCTGTGCTAGTGTACCCCACGGATCCTCAATCGGATTGATACTAGGACCACATGTTGGTCAGTTCAACAAACTGGGTGAGGTACTATTGAAGCCATTCCGATTTCAAGGGACATCTAAGCTGCCTTTTGAAAAGTAAATATTATAAGTTGACATAATACAGGATACTACATGTTTATAGTCTACCTACTGTGTAGCACACGCGCGTTGTGATGCAAAACCTGTTCAGGAGATGTGGGGTGTTGATAAAACACCCTAACGTAGTACTGAAGAATATGTTGCGGTTTATTGAGCGGAACGGATTTCAATCTTTCAGGTTCGGGCGGACTTCTAACCTGTTGTCGAAAATATGACGCCGAGGTCATGAGGCCGATAACAGCGTGATATCAGCAAGAAACGAGTATCGCAATAACTCGCCAAAAATTTCCAAAAGTTAAGGCTCAGGCAGTAGTCTGGCCTAATAGGAACAAACATGCATTTGGGACATAACAGTCGGGTAGGCGGACGGATCGAGGATGTACCATTATCGGTTACCAGATATACAGAGTGTTATGTGTTGCGTATGCGACCGCTTCTTGTTTCTTTCTGAAAAACAGCATGGGAGCAGTGCAATAGCCCCACTTGCTTGGTTTCCGTTCATCATGACAGTGAAATGCTAGTCTGCCTTAACGATCCGGATTGAGTCTTCTAAGACCGGGCAATGCATTCAGCCTGTCACGGATATCTCATCACCTTGTTCGCCCTCATGACTATCATTAAGGACGATGAACGGATTCGAAGTTGGAGGCAAACCAATTCGGAAAAAAGACCAAGGACCATCTGGTCAACCACCAAACCTTGCTTTCTGGTGGCGCGACGGATTCTTCTGCACATACATGTGTGTCCTCAGGATAGCGATAAAATCCGAAGAGTGATTCACTGAACACCATCTTCAGCTTGCAGTAAAAAGTGACAATTTATGTTGTCCGCTGTGCCGAGTGATAGCCATGCTCACCTACGTGAATCCGTCGTTTGTCTCCACTGGGAGTTTGGCTTCCACTGGGAGTGAAAGCGCGAGAACAATATTCTGCTCTAGTCACCAGATCGACTTCCAAATCGCTCCTCTTAGGGCCTGAACGTCTTGGTGCAGTGTAGCCGTCGCACAGCCTCAATATAATTAGTTATTTGTTACGATTAATACATTGGGATTATGATGAAACCTTTACGTCTCTGACGAAACATGTCTCTCTCACCGACTGATTTCAGTGGAGACAATGGGCAGCAGCCTTACAATCACGTTGAATTGCAACCTCCCTACCGACCAACTAAAGACAAAATACTAACCTTTTTTCCATCCAAACCACTGCCCAGAAGTGCCTTCCATAAAGGGACATAATCTTGGTAGCTAACTGGAGCGTCAGACATTTGCAATGGCTTAGAGCGGGGAGACTCTGCCAGTACGGAAGCATCGTCAACGGGCGTAAATACAATCGGCGGATGACGACAAGAAAGCAGCACGGCCCGATAAACTGAAATAAATGGAAGAGACGGTGGGAAAGAACAAGACAAAAGAGAATTCAGCAGCCTGAGAACAAACCGGGCAAATCGGACCCAAAACTTACCCAATTGTTCACCAAAATTCAGAGGCTGCATCGTATTTAGGGCGTCGCAAGAAGCTCCCGTGGTTGTTTTCTCAATCGCCAAACGGATAGCAGCACTGAAAGTTGTGCTCATGCTGACTGAAGAGAGTGGGAACAACTCAACAATGCGAACACAAAGACGAAGCAGCAGTTGGTTCAGGCGGTTGTAGAGTTTGGTTGCCCTCATCTGATCCAAGCTGCTTTGCATGGTGGAAATCTTAGACCAGGTGACAGTACTGAGTGAACTGAAAGCTGTTACCAAACGAGACAGATCAAAAGGTTCTACTTCAGATGAACTGTCCTTGTTCAGGTCTACCAGCTCAATGCGATCAAGAAGCTTGTCGATGATGTTGAGAAATTCGTTGGCCGAAGTAATTCGAACACATACCTGTTAGTGAACGCCAGATTAAGCGAATAAAAATAAAATAAAACGCTTTTCGAATGATTACAAAGTTTCCACAAGAGGTAAGTGAAACTGATGTGCAAAGTCGCAGCATTTTTCACACTGGAGTGGCTCTCTTGTTTTGCGATGGCTCATTTCATTACTTGTTGGGGGTAGTGCATTGTTCACAGGACTTGAGGAAATCCTACCGTGTTGCCTTTTCGAACAGTTTTTTACAAGTGACAATCGGGAATTATCTTTCAAAATGCATGGTAAATTGCCGTGACTGTTTTAGAAAATCCAGCCTCGTACAATTCCCATCACATCAGCCAAAAGTATCTTAGGTGAATTACTGTTTATGAAATACATGTTGAAAATCGGTGCAGCTACATCTTGAAGCAGCCTTTGTGCTGCAAATTAGGTTAGAGAACACCGAAAACGAGAGACTCATTTGAATCACAGTTATCGCGCGAATGAATGAGTTATTAAACGTCGGTGTTTGAATAACCTGAGAGTACCCTACCGAAGCTAGACAACCCGCGTACTTTTCGCCCCAGCGGCACGAAGACCTGACATCCAGCTAAACGGTGGTATGGTTGCTGAGTCTACTTACCCCCAAAAACATACTTATCAAAGGCACAGGACACGGAATGTGTTTATATCAACTGAAAGTGGACGATTCAGCTCATGAATGTAACCTACCGGTAGTATGATCATTACGTCGTTGATGGCAGAGGTCTTTGCCACAAACTGAGGTGGAGTCTGGGGTCCGCCTACAAGCTCGGTAGACTGTGTCCCTACAGTTGAACGCTCGCCCGAAAGTACAAGTTACATGAGTCGGGCGATTAAAACTACCCATTACCCGCTTAGGAATAACGATTCGTATGTGGTTTTTGGTCCTTAAACTAAGGTTTTGAGGTCTATTCACAGCTCACTTCATACACAACCGGTAGCCGTGGTAAACGTGCTTAGTTTATCTGTTTCCTGGGCGAACATGTACCTACCAACGGCTTGATTACACTACGTTTGGATATATCGATTAATCATTGTGCATGAATATACGAGCACTGTCTGCCGATGCTTATTCATCGTGCAAAAACATATCATAGAGTTCTGAACGTAACACTAAATAAGTAGAAGAGAATTTTTGGTCGAGCCATCATTCTTACAACGGGTGAGAAAGGCAACATCCTTTCTACTGTACACACGCCATCCCTCCAACAGAGAATTTCTACTTGCAACACTTGGTTGAATTCTGTTCGAATTCCGACATCAGATCTTTCAGAACGACCTGCGCTGTGAAATGTTACCGGTTAAATATCACCAATCGAACAGCGGTAGCCTTTGGTAGCTCAAGCAAGTACATGAATAAGACAGTTGAGCAACTAATCCTGTTTATCTAACTAACTAACTAACATTGTGTCCAGTTGGTTCCGAAGAAAACAGAATGATTGGGCCTGGATAGAAACAAAGCTATTCAGAATAGACTGGTGTGGAAAAATTCCCCGCAACTATCTACGACTAACTAAAATATTCTATGCTAGTATCAGAACGATCATTTTGTAGCGAGGGGGGATGACCGCACAGGCATATCACATGGGTTTTGGATCTCGTGAATGTGTAACTCACCTCGCATACGTAGGTGAAAGCGGTAATAGAAATAACAACTTTCGAGAGCGCCAACGACGGATTGGAAATGGACTGAAGCACATCTTGGATTATTGCAACAAACAGATTTGTGTGTGTTGCGGACAGACACGGAGACCCCACGGAAGTCGTAGTTAGCGCTGCACCTACGGAGATCTGTTCAAGTAGGAGCTGTCCCGTACGTAATAGCACGGCAAGGTAAGCCTTCGTCGCTTTCCGTGATAGTTCGGGATTCCGGTGAATCATACACTGCCTGATATTTGTAATCAGTGTCTGAAAAAGATATAGGGCTTCCAGTTGAAATGAGGAACGCATACGTACCTGAAGTCCATCTAGCAACTCCGTGGATAAGTATACAGAGCATTTATGAAGAAAAAGGCAAGCACTTTTCCAAACATCGTAGCGGGATGCGTATTCCGTTGGAAGAGAAAGTATTTTCGTGGCATACTGAAAGCATTCCTTGACAGCTGGGAAACGTAAACGTATGACAATTGAGGAAAACTACTTTTCGTATCGACCGATTGATGATGGCTAGATATCAATACATCAGTGACGGCTTCCAGACTGGCAGCAACCACAAGGGACTCAGTCTTCTTCGAAGAGACAACAAGCTGACTTTTTAGTTCAGCCATCAGAACTCCGGTAATGCGCTGACCAAATTTTGCCGACAGTTCAGGATAGGATTTCAAAACGGCCCCCAGGATAAGGTAGACGGACTTCCGAACTAAACATGACGTTTGAACTTATTAGAAAAAATCTACTCGTCGCAGCTTGCTTCGTTGCTAGTTCGCGTAAAAACCGTTCCAGAAATTCTTCGCGATCTTTCAAAGTTGGATTGACTTCAGGATTAAGGAGCACAAGGTCACGAAGGAGTGTCGCAGATTCATCTTTCACTCGGGCAGTTTTGCTTCGGAAATATATGAGGCAACATGCATTCTAACAGGATGTACAGCTGCTACAGGTTACTTACCTTCACAAGCAGGAGATATTTGGCAAGCCTCTGCGGACATTTGGCGATGAGCTTGGTGAGGAGTTGAACAATCCCCACCAACAGTGCAGCAGACTGGGGAATGACAAATGTGAGCGAAAATCTTACCTCTATTTCATGTGAAATCTGATCTAGTAATGCAGGAATACCCCACTGTGGTGAGAACAAATCGTCCAGGTAGACAGCTGTAGTCTCAGCAAAACAGGAAAGTAAGCCTACCTAGGTCCTGATCATCAGCTAGAAGCATCAGACTTGTCAGTTCTTGATAGGTAGACAATGCGTCAGTGTGTTGACGTTTCAATGCCTGTGTCTGACACACTTGAAGGAGAAATTTCAAATTTTCCATTGCAATTTCATCAAATTAGCCTTCAAGTTATCTAAGACGCATAAAACAACGAAGAACTGATTTGGGGGTGTCTAGAAAAAAAGATAAACAGTTGATTAGACGTTTTTAGAGCCCGCATGTTCACATTTACCTCATCCTCGTTTGAACAGTCCTCCTCCTTCTTTAGTGCAACTTTTCAGGGTGGGTCCTCACCAGAGGGTAAGCACTGGAAGCACTTTCGCTCTGATTGAATTAGAGATCATCAGTAGCGTATATAGTCGGCAGCGCCGGGATTCGAACTTCGGACACCCAGCATGCGAAGTGAACGTGTCATCAGTGCACAAGACGCTTGAAGAGGTGAACTAACGCTTGAGTGATATGAATGCTTTGCCTGATGCCTCCAGCAATGACCCAGTAACTGTCCTCGTTGTGTTGATCACTTAATCCACCTGTCAGGGTTTCACAGTCAGGTAGCGCCACGGGCACTTGAAACCCGGTGAACAATTTTCAATTAGCTGTAGGTGGTTATGACACTTATAGGATTCAAATTCATCACCCTCAAGCATTTGCCTGTCCAGACGCAATAATCTAGACGTGTTCACCGTGCCCTGGTGCAGTACCGGTAACACAATCGCCTTGCATGTCAGATATCCGGAATTCATAGCCCAGCACGGCGAAGGATATGCGTTACTAATGAGCTCCAGCACGAGCGAAACCCAAGTCCAGTTGCTCCCCCCTAACACAATAGTTGTGTCAGGATTAAAGAGCTAGCTAAACGAGAGTGATGTGAATGTCAACCTTACAAATCTCGTAACCACATACAACTGAGCTCACATATGCCTGAAACTTTGAATCTGAAAGCAATATAACCGACTATCACAGCAGCTGCACCGTGTTCCTTGAGGTGAACTGCGTCTCTGGTCTACCTCTAGGTTCTTCGTTGATTAGAGGTTTATCCTTCGGAAGCTCATCGATACTAACAATCGTCGACAAACTCCCCTGAGGTCTGCTAACGCCGGGTTTTTATAACTTTGTCACCGAGACCTTTGTCGGCCTCATTGCTACCATTGGTGGAAGGTATACTGAAGTGCATGCGTTCTCAAAAGAACTGATCAAAGTAGACTATCGTCTACAATGCGTCGTGATAACATGTGAACTCATGCTTCAAGTGTAGGTTCGTTGGAATGCGTGATTGACTCTCACCGGCCTGATAGTATGCGCTGGTGGCCAATGATATTAGTGAAGAATATTGGCCACGTTGCCACAAGGCCACCATCATCATTCCAGTAATAAGAACAGCTTCGTTGCGAATGTGTATGTAGTTGTTGATGAAAGTTAGTATGGACTTCGATGATATGGATTGTTCATCAATCATATACACTCGTTTGTCCATGTCCACTGAAATCCGGACGCCCGAATAAGCAAGGTGATAATCCAGAACAAAGATAGCGATATTAAAGACCCGCCGATGCAGGAACCAGTCTTTGCAATTTATTCGACTGTCCGATGTAGATTTGTTCGTTTGTGCCCGTTGGAACGTGTACGGTATACCAGCGTTCAACTCCATTATCCAAAACAGCACTCTGGCATTTCACCATGCGTTGACCTTTTTAAAGGGTCTTTTAACTAGGTCCTTCGTCATACAACTAGTGCATATGGCACACAGATGCGTCATTTCATGCGAGTGCACTCACCGTCATAAGTTGTAGTGGCTCGGAGTTGCGTTTCAGATGCTGATTCAGCGCAAACGGAGGAGCTGGAAATTCCACTAGGCATTAGAAAATGCTTGTGTGCCCTTCGTCTTTGAGGATAATGGTCACATAACTATTTGTGTGTTCGCCCAGAAAGAGAAAGTAAAGACGACCAGTGATGTTCTTTTCATAGGTTTCTGCCTAGTTTAGCTGGCCAGAAGTCGGTATATCTGTCACACTTCTTATGGTAGGCTAGGTTCTTTTTATCGATTTTCATCATTTTTCGCGTAAAAAACTGCGTTTCAGTTGTTCTGTTGCCGGGCCTTCACCGAACGCAAAAATAGCTCGAAGCATACCAGCACTCTGCGGATACAGCACGCCACACCTGGTTCCATTCACCGCGTCAAGGTATATTAAGCACTCATGCTTAGTGGTGTATGACGAAGAGAGGTATACTGCTTTGAGGAACGCCGATAAACACGAAACGGATTAATCCGTATATGATTAGGACTGTATCCAGAGAGCCTTATTAACGACCTGTTTGGAGCTTTTTCCACAAAGGAGCACTAAGAACTTCGAGGTCACAGCTGCAGGACCATGTTTAAGACTGGTTGAGCTAACTATGCACCTATACACGAGAAAATGTCTGCATGCCTACCTGTGTTGTTTTCTGTTTTGTTCCGATTCTTGATTGGCTGTGTGAGAGTTTGTTTTCCTCTTCGATCAACCGTTGTATGTGCTTGCCTACGACCAATACCCACTGACCTGTGCCAATGCAACTCGTTAACATGTTGTCCGTGGTCGGCCTTTTTGGCACGATACTGGTTCGCTCGAAAGCACCTGACCATCATAGAATATAGAATAGATAAGCGCACCCATCGACTTTATTTCTCCTTGGTCGCAACAATGGACCAACTTGGTTTGAAATGAACGGTCCGGCTGATAGCTATTCATTTCGAACCCCAGTAGACAGACAAGCGAGGATAGGACAGGATATTCATGCGTTAAACACGACAAACATAATACCGAACGTCTCCATCGAGTAGAGCAGAGGGTTAAAAAATAGAGTACATGTATTGATCATTTTGTCTATTGGTTTATTCGCTTTGCATCCCTCATTGTTGTACCACTGAATCAGTATTTACGTGAAAGTAGTGAATTACCAGTGTGTGTTCGTTTTTCAGCATAGCAATGAGCAGCATCGACTCAAGATGTCCGAGAAGCAGGCTCATTCTCATACAGGAGACGGCCAAAGAAAAGTAAGCAAGCAAGTAACGGGACCAGCTCCCGATGGTCAGTCTTCTTGTAGCTCATCAGGACCTAAGTGGAAATCCAATCAGAAAAATCCAACACAACAGCTGCACTATAAAAAGCAAACTTCGAAGAAAACTGGAGCATCCTCACGAGCGGATGCTTACTTTTGAAAGGACAAGATAATAGAAATCGCTCCCTGAAATTTTCTGCATCGACGAAAATTTGTTTGCCCATGTTTTTCTCCAGAATGCAATCTGAGTTGGTGAACCAACATTCTAATATATGCCCAAACATACCATATTTAGAAGTCGTTTTGAAATAATAAAGTCTGGCCAATATTAGGATACGTTATGCTCCATTACCTACATTCCAGTTTGCCTAGTACAATTTTCGCCAAAAAAAACTGTACATGGGCTATCGACCGTTCATGCAGGGATTTGAGCCATTGACTGACTGTGAGTTATCTGCAGTTTACTGACTGACGTCTCGGCACCTAAAACAATTTATATCTTAAAAATAAGCTCCTTGAGGTATACCACACGGAATTCCATCGACCGTTCCATCCGCTGTTACTATGCGCCTTCGCATCGTGCCACCTCATCGCCTTTCTCACATAGAGTCGAATCATAATGAGACTCCGCGCAAAGAAAACTGAATCGTCAACACCGTGATACGCAATGGTCTTATCCCTTGACCCCTCAAGCAACGTTGAGAAGTATCACCTGGAGAGATTCGAGGCTGAACAGACCCGACAACATTTGACCTTCACATAAGTTACGGTCAGATGGCGGCTAAAATCTTCGAAAGAAAGCGCCACAAATGTCGGTGCACTTTTCTGGGGATAGTATGGTTTAGTAAGTGGCAGTGGTTCGATAGGATTGGTAGTAGTTTATTGAGTAGTGCAATACAGTGCTGAACGAAAACAAGCGAAAAAAATTTTCGGATACCGTTTGTAGTTGAGTGTCCAAAGAGCACCTGTGCGACTCACGAAAACCCTCGGTGAACTATTCTCCTAAAGCTTATAAACTCTTTGGTCCACAAAACCGAAGTGACTTAGACTTGGATGCATGCAAAACCCCAATTATTGTCCGTGGGTACTTGAAGTAAGGCGGCCTTTGGAAGCGAAAGGAAGGAATTAAATAGTCGAAACGAAGAGCCTATACTAAGTGCTCAATGCCTGACATCTCTGTAGATTACTTGCCTCTCAAAGAAGAAACCTCTTATGCGAATCAAAAAGGCGTCCGCTGCCAAAAGGAAACCGATTTTCGGGAAGGCACAATAGTGAACCACATTTTACAAAACCTCTTGTTTAATAAAGACCAAATGTCTAAGATGACCACCTCTGGTTGGCTCCGTTCAGTTATCTTTATGCCCCTCATAAATCCCCCTGACATAATTATGGGGATACGCTCGTTTTTCACAAGATCCCCACTACTGTTTTTATTTAGGAAGTGCGCGGACCATCGGAAGCCGAACTCAAAGTTTACAACAGAATACTTGACGTAAAAAGACGAAATGGGAAACGAGTGTGACAAAATTATAGGAGTGCCTTAAAATGCATTCCCATGGAGAGAGTTCTCAAGGATTTCTGCCAGCTTTTTCGCTGAAAACCTAACATTTTAACTGAAGTATTATAGAGTTCTGTTTCTCAGTAGGCAAACCATCTGTGCAACGCCCTCATTGAGTGATTGCATCCGAGAAGACTGCGAAACAACCATTTCCGAGTATCAAGTGAAACAATAGTCCTACCAGAGCTTTGTCTGCTAGCCCTGACAGAAAGAACCCTGTCATATAATTACAGCCTTTTAAAAAATATTGTGAGGGTCGGCCGCTCCAGAACCTGGATGATGACGGTGGAATTTGCTGTGTTGGACGTAGTGCACACCTATCAACGCGGCTGAGTCCACACACTTTGAACCTGATGACAGAGTTCTCCTCAATGTGGTGGTAACTGCTGACCACTGCCAATCGCACAACTCTAAAATTCACGTTGTCGAAGGCCACACAGTTTCCGTGTTCAGCTTCACCGTTTAATCTGGGTCACCAGAGAGCACTGGTGACTACACCGACGCCCTCAATTCAGACACGACCCAGTGATTATTGCGCCTCAACAAACAATTCGTTTCTCCAATAAGGGGCACGCTTACTGGTCGCACCAGAAAACAGAAAAATGCCCTCACACCCAACAACTTTGAAGCCAGTAGCAATCAAGACCTAAAATGTAGTCAGTACTTTAACAATGAAGATCGGGAATGTCAAGCATCAAAAACATCTCAAACCGATGGGTCGATACCGGAAGTGACATTACACCAAAAGATAGTCCACGTGGATTGTATTGTGCTTTAAAACTACCGAATGTATGCTGAGACGTCCTTGAGATAACGAGATGGATAACAAGTTTGTTTTTGTGTGATTCTCAGATAATCTATAGCACGACGAGTGAATGCAGTAACCAAGGGAAGCCATTTAAGAATGGAAAATACTAAAATTTCGCTGTTTGACAGTGAGTTGCGTAGTATTCACTGGGTAAAGATTGAAGATTGGAAGGTCAGTGTCCACCATACACAACTTCCTGCATTTATTCATCTTATTGTCAAAAAGGACAGTGCGAGGTAACCAAATAACCTATATAGATGTAGTGTCTTTCTGGAGTCGGATAACTGTTCGGATATTCCATCGCGGGGAAGACGGCATACATGACCAAAATGAAGCTATTATTACCTGGTGAGACGATGTTTTTCTCAAAAGATATCGGACCTACTATAAACAGACTAGGGAAAAACAGATTTCACAAAGCCCCTACACTCTACCGTGAAACAATTTCATTCTCGCCCAACTTTATAGCTGATACAGACCTGTTATAGTTGGACAGTTACCCATAAGGAGCACTAAGGCCACACAGAGAAGGGTGACAGTATGATATTTGGAAATTTTGATCAGGATTTCTCTCTGGAAACGACTAAGAAGATTAGTGTGATGCATATTACAGAGGATGAAACAGTTGTACAGAGCTTCCCGATATTTGGAGGGGTGACTTCGCTTACAGGACGAAATCTCGACTGATAAAAGGCCCTCTGGGAACTATTCAGGTTTTGCATGACCCTGCCTGCCACAAGCTAGTTAGGTTACTTACACTTCCAGTCTCACTCTTTAGCTTCAGCGCACTTTGTTCGACAGCGCTCAAAGTGTTTGTTTTCCTGACTCTCTGTAAGAAGAAAAGTTAGGAAAAGTTAGGAAACTAATTTTCAGTAGCTGTCCAGAGGAAACTGTCGATGTTAACAGTATGTCACAGCCAGGAAAAGGCCTAACTGTTCAGTAAAAATTTCGTTTGGTTGTAACCGAAAGACAAACTAAGTCCTGTAATCGGCCGTAGCAGCTTAACTAATCCTGTTCTCAGCAGACAGAAAAGACGAATCTCAGATGCGCAGTATTTCTGTTCCACATATCGCATACCAGATCACATGAAGCTATGCGGTCTCCTATTGAGCTTGTGAGGACGCGCTCCAGAACATCTAACTAGTCGTGGGTCAGGTGACCTGTAGACCGACCAATGAATTTCAACGAATTTCCGAAAGTCCGATTCATCGACCACGGAACTTATTGTACCAGCTGGCCACAGGTT